CTGAGGGCCGGCTCGGCGTCGGGACTCAGCCTGAGCAGCCTCCTCATGGAGCTGGCCGGGTAAGGCGGGGGCACACAGGGACAGCGGCTGGAGCCGCGGATCCCCTCGGCCGGGGGTGCGGGGCCCGGGGCTGCTGCGGCAGGCAGGGATTAATTCCTTCCTCCGCGGCTCAGGTCAGGCGTGAGGGTGCGCTGAGGGGCGGCCTGGGGGGCGGCGAGCACACCCCGCGCCCTCGGTGTCTCACCACCCCCTTCGGAGCTCAGGACCAGCCCCGCCAGCTGAGCCCACAGAGCCTTTCGGCAAGGAACTTCCTGCTATAGTGATTCCGCGCTGTCATTTAAAGGGAAACTCGGCTTTTTTAACTTAGCCCAAAGCATCCCGGACCGCGCATGTCCCAGGCATACAGCAGCTGCAGAGGCTGTGCGCCTGTGTTCAGGTTATTCAGTGGCCCGTGTGCCCTGTGGGGCAGGAGCTGTACTCGTCAGACAGGCTTCCCTCACCGGAATCAGTAAGACTTAAGTAATTCCTTAAGAAAATTACAAGCCGTGTCAAACTCCAAAGACTTGTGAGCCTGTAATGAGCTTACATGGTCTAGGCTTATTAAATCTTGCTTAAAGAGGATTGTATGAAACGACAAATAAATAAACGCGGTGTGGGTACAAGTGAGAGAAAATACCTTGAGGAGCCCTGCGTTGTCCGAACCGAGGCGTGGAGGAGGTGGGCAGAACATCAGCCGGATGGCTGCCAGCTCCCCGCGACGAGCTAGGAAAGGGGGTTTTATTCAGAAAAATCCCTTCACAAAAACGGCGTGGTGTTTCTGAAGGTGCCTGTGCCACGTCTCTCGGCAGGGCCACAGCTCAGGTTCACAGAAATCTCTCCGTGCAGAATCTGTGCAGAGCTGTGCAGAATCCCTCAGGTTGCGCTGTGGCCGCTCCCCGCCCGCCTCTCTCTACAACACTGAGCCCGTCTTTGTGCTGTTCATCCTTAACACACCTCAGAGTAAATGAAGCAAATTGGAGTTCCAGCAGAGATTACTGACCCCACAGCCTCAGCCAAAAAGCGGTGACAGCACTTTAATCATTCGTGTGCGTTGGTGTGCATTAAAAATGCTTTGTAAGTAACTTTTGAGATGAGCATGGAGAAGCTGGAAATGTCTCTTCAGCACCTGTGTGAGAACCACGATACCCACACAAATACAGGTTCTGGTCGTCTTTGAAACATTTATTGTGATTGTATATTCTGTAGACTGTTTATCCTTCTACCTTTAAAGAGTCTTTGAATTAGGTTGGAGGAAGCTGTGTGACTACCAGTACAAGCTGGGCTGGTTCTGTGAAATCAACATAGAGTGGTCAGGCAGAGGAGTGACACAGAAACATGGTGCTGGTGGCTAGGAGTCTCATTTGACTCTCTATCAAATAGTCCTTCTAGGAAGTTTGGATATTTAAAATCTGAATACTGTAAAAGCCAATTTCTTACAAGGCAGGCTGTTCCTTCTGCCTTTTTTACACCAGCAACCATATTTTTTTCCTTAGGTAAAACTGCCCTGAGTCCTTTCTCTTTTCTATACAGCTTTGAATTTTCTATCCAACCCTGTGGACTTGCAGGAGAGTTGGAAGTACAGAATACGTTATAAAAGTTCAGTTCCTTTTAGGTACTGTGTTGTGGAATGGCAGGAAGGAAAATTGCCGTTGTTTGGTGACCTTAGACTCTTAGTCTGACCAGTATAGCTACACTGGGCCGTCTCATAACAGTGTAAGTCTAGACAGCTTGGAAGACATTTTGAACCTCTATAAAACTTGCTTAATGTATAGACTGAACTACAGACATAAATAAAGAAATCAGAGTTATCTAGAGATGCCAAGGCTCTTGCAGAGAGAAGGTATCTCCTAGGTCTGGAAGCCTTTCTTTCTCACCAGTTGTAATTAATAAAATTATGCGTTACAGACTGTGACATGAAGACCTCAATGAGAAGTGTGGGCAGCAAGGGTAACAGAAATAGATTACAGAATGATCAGGCTTGCTCTGTGTGTGTGCCTTGTTTGTTTGATCAGGTTGACAGCAAGGGCTACACTTACCTGGAGCCTTTTGGCGTGACCAAAACAGTATAAAAGTTGTGAAGGCATTTTCATGTCCTCCTGTGCAGTCATGTTGTTTTGTATCTCTCTGTTCAGCCACATTGTGTTTCTGAGGTACCAGATCTACTATGGTTACCCTCTGAAGACATACCTGGAGTATCCCATCATCATTGCACAAGGTAATTTTTGTAAGCCATGTTGTGGAAATGAAATGGGGCTCATTCAGCACTCCAAGTCTCTGCATGTAAGTACAGTGCTCCACTGCAGTGATGCTGGAGTTGGGGGAAAGAGGGAATTAACATCTCATCTAAAACTGAATTCTTTTAAACGTCATTGAAAGAGATGGTCAGGTAGAGGAGAAAAACCTAATTATTACACAGAGTCACAGTGTAAACTCATCCTTTTGTCCAGTGCCTCCACATGGGAGAGAAACATATTAAATACTTCAGACTCTAAGAAAAAACTTAGTTTTGGAGCTCACAGTGTTTTGGTCATCAATCACATTTGAGAGACAAAAGCTGTAAGAAAGGAGTTTCCATAGATCTCATGCCCAGTGGAACTGTCTAGGATTGTGTTTGGACCCCTTCAGTCCTTTCTGTGATGAGCCATCTTTTGTTTATTGCAGATGTCATTCTCATTTACTGTATTATGCATTTCAGTGGAAATGCGAAACGTGCTTTGGTCTATGCACTCATGTATCCTTTGAAATAGGAGGTTTGGAGGTTTGGTTTGTGTGGTTTAGTTCTTGGCATAGCAGCTATGTCATCATTTCTTGTGTGCTACTATTGTAAATCCTTCTCAGGCACCCCTCAACATGTATTCCACATTCACCTGCTGACTTCTGGGTTTGCAGTAAAACCTCTACAGGGAGTAAGCATTATATGTTTGCTCTGCTTTAAAAGATTCCCAACTCAAAAAGAGTAAACAAAATTCTTAATTTACATCTTTGCTACAGGGATCCAGAGAAGAATTGACAGATTATATATAATACATAGTATGCATTTTTTTATTTTTTTTTATTTTTTTATTCCTACACATGGAGGTTGTACTTACTACAATGAAGACAGCAGTGTCTGGGTTTTTTTCTAAAATAGGACTTGGGTTTAAATCTCAAATGTTGTGCTTTGGAACAGAGTTTGAGAAGCTCCAGACACTATTTGACCAAAGACAATGTGAAAAATAGGAACACTTAGTGTTTCAACTAGTTCTTAATATGTTTTATCTGGATTGTACCGTCTGTTTAAAAGTTTCAATAAGATTATTTCCAGATGTTTAAAAAAAATCCTATTCTTCAAGCAGTTTTGAGAATTTTGTATCCTATAATTTTTAGTGCTATGACACTTAACATTGTATAAGATACTGGGGTGGCTGGTACATGCTAACACTGGAGAAGTGGATAATAGACCTGGCTATGGTAAGTGCTACATGATTATCTGAAATTAGATCTTCATATGAAATGACTTTTTTTGTGGAAGTATTTATTAGTGGACTCTCTCCAACATTTATGTCCTTGGAAGAATTTGTCATTTAGGTTAGCTGCCAGAATAACCAACCAGTTTGCAGATACAGGTTCTTCTGTGAGTAGCTGGAAAACATCACTGAAAATAGAGACTCTATGGGGGGAAAAAAGGGTTCTGAGATAAGTTGCTACTTGGTGCCTTAAATAAAACCAGCAAATACTTAAAATGTTGAAATTCTACTGCCACTTTAGTCCTAATGTTGTAATCCCAACCAATAAGCCTTTATCACAAGAGGAAGAGAATAGATCATCAAATCATTTGAAACAGGGATTGTGACGTATTTATTTTTTTCCCCTTTAGTCAAACAATTTTGCAAGGAAAAAGCCATCTGATAATGCCTGCAAAAGTTAAAGATGGTCTTTATTTATTTAAAGATGGTATTTATTATTTTAGCAGGAAGGAGAAAGTAAAAACGTAGTTGAGATGAACTGCTAATGCAAAAGATGCTACAAATGGGGAGAAAAGCTCCCAAGCTCTACCCTGATCATCCTTACTTGCAGCAGAAATCCAGGCATGGCACAAAGGCCTCTGTGGAATCCTCTCTACCTGCTGCCTTTGCAAAATCCCCTTTAAAAGGGGGACTGAGTGAATAGTGCATTCCTGTTACTATTTTTTCCCTCCAACTGGGCTAATTTTCCGCACATTGTTGTCAGTTTTCTCATTCCTTTATGGTTTGGTTTGCCAGACATAATGGTAACAGATGGTCTGAATCAACCTTGCTGTTTAGACTGTGTCAGTCTCATTTTAGCTGACTTTCATAAACAGCTTTATGGAACAGATTGCAAAGCTTTTTTTTTGTTTGTTTCTTTGCTTCTTACTATATTTTCCTTTTTCAAGCATTTGTCAACAACAGTAGCAACTGTGGTCTTTGAGCCTCTTGCTGTGAAGTACCTCAGAAAGGAGTCCCTCATTTCTGGCAACTTCCAGATTTTGCTTCAGTGTTCCTTACTTAAAAGCCAAAGTGCTTGGGTTGCCAAATACTGGAAAAGTGTCAATTTTTTTTATTCTAAATGAAAAAGCTACCTCTATTCAGATAATTCCATGGCAGAGGCAGAGGTTCTCTCTCTTTTTCACCTGCTTTTTAGAATGTGTGCACGTTCATCAGTGCAGCTAGTAAGCTGGTTCAGCTGCAGCATCTCTGGCAGACCAAAGATTCCGGACAAGTGAGCACCCTGACCTGGGGAATGTCTGTATACACTTCTTCAGGTAAGCTAGAGACAACTTGGTGTGAAGCACTGAGTTCTCCTAATGCCTCTTTTCATAGGTCTTTACTCAATCATAGTAGGTAAAGATCTTGCCTTAGTTTCCCTCAGTGCTGATGCCTGAGACTCAGATACCACACAGTCTCTTGAAAACAAGACACCTATCTTATCTTATCTCACCTATTTTATCTTTGACACCTGTGATAAAAACCAATGATTTAAAGTGTGAATATGGCCAAGGAAACCTGAATTGAAATAACTGAAAGGCTGTCTTTATGAGGAAATTTTTTCCATATTACACAATTTAATAAAGCTGATAGTGATCCAGCATGAAAGGTGCTAAAATTTCAGGTATACAGTAAGATAATGCTAATTTTGAAAAGCTGTCTACAAATAAATACACACTTAATGCTAAATACTTTTAACCCTATGGCTATTTGTAATTACATTTCTTGACAGAATTTATTAACAGTCATTTGTGGAGTTCCTGTGGTCTGCATGAACTATTCTACAGCTGTTTGTCAGAAGTGCCTTTCTCATCTTCACAAAACTTAAAATATTCTTAAAATATTCTCACTATGAAACTCACCATCCAGCGATGCTCGATCTATTTCTACACGAAAAAAAGTCAGTAATTAGAAGTTGTGATGTGTTTGGTGAACAACGACAGTAAACTTCATAAATGGTTTTACTGTGCTGCAAGTGTGAAATAATTAACATTTAGGTTCCTTATGGGAACAGAAGCTGAATTCCTTGTATTTGCAAAGCCTGAAGGCACACAGGAGAACATTCCCAATGGTTAAGTCGTTCTAGCCCATCTGTGGGTGTAGCTCACTGTCAGCTACTGAAGGAGGGGCTGAACAGAAAGAAAAGCTGTAAACGTACCACATCCAATCTAGCATGACAGATAGAAAAATTCTAATTATATCTGTGACATTCTCATTAAAAAAGACCCTTAATACATTGTCAGTCAGCTTTGAGAGCTTGATCTCTGAAGCTAAAATAGTGAAGGATGGACACACTAAAAGTGGGAATGTGTACAGAATATATTTTCATACAAGATTATCTTCTGTTGAAAAATAGGTATTTCATCCTTTTTTATAAGTATAAATGTGTCCTATGTGTCCCACTAATCAGAATTCATTCAATTTACAGCAAGAATTATTACAACTGTAATGACTACAAATGATCTTGCAGGTGAGTGAAGTGTGGAATTCTCTGTCTTTCCAAGGGAACAGCTGCCACAGTAGTTTTTAGTTGTTCTGTAAAACACCTAGAAGGTCTCACAAGAGCAAACCATGAACGTGATAGGTTAGCATGGTGAGGGCAGGAGTCACACAGGATTACAAATCAAAGACATCAAGAAAAGAAAAAGCCAGAAAACTGCTTACACTTGTCATGTGGTGAAACTGGTTCAAAAGAGTTTTGTTTTTTTAAAAAAGGCAAAAACACTACAAAATTAATCCTTGAAATAGAATAGTAATGTATTAAAAATAATTGCTATTTTAATAAATAAAAAAACCATACTAAAATACAACTAAAAAAACCTGCAGTAATTGAATGAGATTTTAAGTAATAAATATTTCACTTTCTTACTGACAAATTTTTAATTTGTGAATTAAAAAATTCTTTTAGAAAAGTAAAATTCAGCTTAGTACGTGAACAGTGTCAGGTCCAACATGCAGAAAGTTTATGGCAGGCTGAAAATTAAATGGTAGGCTGATAATAAATTCAAAAAAACTGACTTAAAATATATAATTTGCAGCAAATTATAAAGCAGATTTATTTAACAGCTTCTTACCATTCTGAGAAAACTGCAAGAGCTAGCGAGTGTCACAGATTTTTCAGTAAATTGTTCAAAATCAAGACTTGGTGGATGCAAGAACATTAACAATCCCTTTGTACTTCATTTGGTGGTTGCTTGTTCTTGTTCAAAACTATTTCATCAGAAACATCATTTGATTGGATTTTGTAATTTTCAAGCAGCCTTTGCAGCCCAATAAAGCTGTAGCTTTGCAAGCATTTCAAGTGGGAAAGGAAGTCCCATTTTTGGTCCACATTTCCACCCCCATGCTTGCTGCTTTTTCTTTGCCAAAGTAAGGAGTTTGTGGGGCTGTGCAGTTAACTGGATCACCGACGATTTGGCAAAATGCTCATGAAGGGATTTAGTCAAGGTCAGGTACTGAGTCCACGTCAGTCACAGCTACACATTTACATTGAGGGGGAGGGAGAGGTTCATTGTGGGGAAAGAGGAAACACCAAGAAAGCAAAGCTGGTGCTGGGTAAAGCTGCTGTTTAAAATACAGCACCATCTACTTTGGAACATGGAAGGGTCAGCAGCAAACATTGATGCTGTGCTGCTCTAATAGAAAATGTGTCCAGTTAAGTTGCAACACTGAACGCATCCACTGGTATGAATCAGTCAGATATCACATAGTTCTGAAACAAAGTTTTGTGTATGTTTCTGTGAATATTCTGCCTACCAAATGGACATCAAACATACCTATACTTTAAATACCTTCTCACAGGTAGAGGTACTATGCTGTTACAGTTTTTAAAGCTGAGTTAACCCAGGTACTGAAAAACTGTTTTTTTTTTGTCAGCTGTTAGATTTTCTGTCACTAAAATCTGACAGATACAAGTATTTCCTGTCTTCTCAAAGTTTAAACTTAAGAGATGGCAGTAGAGAGTAGTTCCTTTATTATAAATAACACATGTAACTATAAAGGACATCTGAGCTGTGACTCTGAAGTTAACTTTTGGTATACATATAGATTTATATAAGGCTTCTCAAGTTTGTACTATTCTCCTGGTTACAAAAGAATTAAAAGTACTGTAGTGTGTAATTTTGAGCTATCTCTGAAAGTGATCTAAGCACTAAATGCCTTTTTCTCTTGGATTCCTGCTCAGAATGGGTGGGTTCCTGAACATGGTAATTGAAACTAATTGGCTGGAAACAGTTTCAGAATGTGAACCAGCCTGTCTGTACACCAGCAAAAGTTTACAAACCAGTGTTGTAACAGCAGTTGATTTTTTTTATTTATGCTTACAATATTTTTTTTCCCTTTTAGTTCTCATCCGTTTCATAATCATGCTCATTCTCAATATTTGGGTCACAGCTACAATCCTGCACTACAGGAAGACTAAAAAGACTGGTTAGAAGACACTCATCAGTACATATATCATTACCATGAAAAAAATACATAATTAAGCCTGAAGAATTTAACAATTCCTCAAAGATTGAGGAAGCTGTCTTTCTCTAATATTTACCCTTTAGCATAGTTCTAAGTATTTACAGTACTTAGAGACTTACAATGTAGTACATTCATGCTTCTTTTCTCTTAGAAATAATTCTGATAAGATATTTAATTTAAGCAGCATATTTTTATTGGTCATTTCAGACAAGTTTCACTGATACCACATTTTCTCTGGATTCTTTTTACTACAAGGTATTTCATAATTAGATGTATATATACTCTGGTTTCACTTCAGTACTTTCTGGTTACATATAAGCAATTTTCTTCAATTATACATGATCGATTTTGCACCAACATACTGACTCGTCCTTCAGCTGCAAGACTGAAAAACCACAACAGATGTTTGTCTTCTTCTTGCAAGCAACTCAGTTAGTTCAACATTGACTGTCTGTATTTTAGGATGAAGAAAATCTGAGTCAAGGCCCAATCCAGAACAAGATTCTAAATGTTTTTTACTAAGTCACAAATCCAGTTGGGATTGTAGCACTTACATGCAACACTTAAATAGTACAATTTATACAGCTGATACAGGATACCCACAGTCACTTTCCTCAGTATACCCAGTATATATCGGCTAAGAGCAAAAACTCAACTATGAATTCTTTTTCAACCTGGGCCCTCATTCACTGAACATACTGTTTTGGGAACAGCAGGGACTAGAATGTATGGGAATTAATGAAACTGTAACCAACAGTTAAAAATGCTGTTCAAGCAGAAGTTCCTGGAACCATATCCAGAATTCCCAAACACCATCCTTACTGACAGTGACATGTGCACCTTCATGCATCTCAGCAGACTGATCTCCCGTCTTGTCAGGTTTTGGTGATACTGCTCTGTGGTTCACGAGGTTTTGGCCTGTCAGTGCTAAGCGTGTTGAAGAACATAGACTTCACTTAAACTTTTACTTCAGAAATTCTAATCAATTTGTTGTACTTGAGTAAAAAGGGGGAAAGGATATTCTTGACAACAGGGGATTTTGGCAGTACTGCCTTCACAACCAAAAATTACATTAGTATTCATATAGCTTGCCTTCATTTCTCATTACATTCCCCAAAATTAAAAGATACATTTCAAAAGAGTTCTTACAGTATTCTGTTGATTCCATGTAAAAAACCAAGGCACCCTTGATCCCAACACCCTTGAAAAATATGGGAAGACTGCATTGACTACATTTGAGGCAGGTTTTCTTCAGAACATTCTAAATTGTGTGACTGCTGTGGAGCAAAGGGATCTGCAAAAGCAGATGTTTCTTCCAGTGTGCACGCAGCAGTTGGAGCAGGGCCTTCACCATCAGAAAATAGCTGCTGCATCCTCTAAATTTTAGTGGGAAGGGCTGGGAAGAGACGTGTCTGTGGGCATTGATTGCATGTATCCCACATTATTGAGAGCAAGTCAAAGATAAGCTTTTTTTTTTTCTGCTCCAATAAAATGCATCAATCCTTCTGTGTTGGTTGAAAGATTAATTGTAAACATTCTGATTTTATTAAAGCTGTGTAAAGTATCTGAAGTGGTCTAAATGGTGGCAAGTATCATATGTTACATTTTCAGGTGATATTAATAAATGCTATTCTTCAAAGATTGATTGTGTCATTCTTACAGCTAATTTTCATTGCGTTTGAGTTTTTATTGTTGCCATATATGAAGAGAAAATGAAATATTCATTACAAGTTATAAATGGGCAGCTTTCACCTTAACACTTGAAGCATCAGGCTGAATATTGACCTGCCAAATGCTAACAAGCTCCAGCATCTTAAAATGAAAAAAACACACCTGCTTTTTAATTAAAGCCTTTTCTTGATAGAGAAGGATTTGTGTGGAATCCAAACCCTCTCTGTTATTGACGTATTTCATTCTCCTGAGGGATGCTGTAGCAAAATGAAGCTGCTCCATTTTTGGTTTGAGAATCAGCACCTCAAGTTGGTTTTTTATCATAAAATACAGAAAATGCATTTAGGAACAGTTCTTAGTAGGTTACTTAATGCATTTTGAATAAATCACCTTAGAAACCTGTGGGAAAAAAAGACTGAGGAAAACAAACAAAGCTGGGTACTTAATGAACTTAAGGTAAAGTAATTTTGTGGACTTGGAAAGCTGGACCATGAGTTCTCATTCAAACTGCAAGAGATATGGAACAAATCATAAAGTAGCAGTAAATAATTTTAAACACTTTTCCCCCTCTCAGTAACTTCTTTCACTTTCATAAACAGAGGCACATTCAAGTTCCAGGCAAGCCCCACAAAAGTGCAGAGCCTGTGTTTTTCAGGAGGTAAAGAATAATCTTCTCAGTGGCTGGATTAAAGGCAACAGCTTTAGACAAATACATAGACAGGATAAACCTTGTTAAACTCATCATTCACCAGTATCAGGGTGGACACAAGGAGGCTGTTTGATGTGTAATGCACCAGCGGGGCAAAAGCAAGAGGGGAAAGCATCTTGGATTTATGGCAGAAGGTATAAGCAAGTAAGCAGCTCTTACCCAGAGGGCTGGAGGTAATACAACTCCATTCACAGATGCTGTACAAGTGTGGAATTAGTGTACTAATTGTACCAGTTCACAACATGCTCACAAGGTAACACAGTCTGGCTGACAAAGTGTGGGTCTTATTGGGGCTTTCAAAAACTGTGAGTGTCCTTGTCTGTGAAAAGACAAGATCTGAATTCCAGTAGAGTCCACTGAATAACCACAAGTACCCCTCCAGCAGTGGATATGATGAACTGTGACTGGGTTTGGCAACAGGTAAGCTAGAAGCTCACTACAGCTGTATGAGAGAAAAAAATATTTAGCATGAGATTTACTATTGAAAGAATGAGGATGTGAGTCCAGAGACAGCAGGCTGCAGGACAGTGAAGATGTGGACACTGGAAGATGCGTGTAGTTTATTTTTTCTGCACTGTCCTCAGTGAACAGAACATTGATCACAAATGCAAAACCATCCTCTCCCCACACTATGGGTCTCCCTAACACTGGGCTTTCTGTGCAAAATGGACTCAGATGTCTTTCCTTGTGCTGCTCCAATCCAGCAAGGGATGTTATTGCTTGGACTGCTCAGGAGTCCCTGTCCCTGCGTGACTCCTGAGCCTCTGTCAGCCTTACACTGTGCACTGTGCTCCGGGAGCTAGCTCTGCTCTGATCTACTGCAACAGGAGAGAAAGGAGTGGGGTGGGGAGGCAGCGACACCTCCCAACTGCTGCAGATCTAGAGCTGGATTTTAGTACAGTTTGACCCTGGAGAAAGTAATTCAGAATTAGCTGAATGGCCCCAGTCTTATAGAACACCTTCACTCATTTCTTTAAATGAGGTAAAATTACTCTTCCTCCACCAATCATTATCCATTTAGTCACATATGTAACAAGGGGAAAATAAAAAAAAAAAAAGGAAGTAACAGCTGAGTTCACTGAAGGAACTATTATAAATGAAAAGCTCCACAGATGTGGAGATAACTGAAATGAGGTAGTTTCCCAGTCATGCATTTTTCCTGGTGATGAATAATAATGACTTCCCTACAAGTTCTCTTCAGGCTGTTTTTTTTCACTCTCTTCCAAATTCTTCCATACTTGAAATTCATATTTATGTATGAAGCAAACATCAAATGTCACCTTCATCACTAATAATGGTTCAAGGATGTCTCACTTTTTCAAGGTGAGGAAGATGAAAAAAATCTTAAAATAGGATGTTATAAAATTCTTGGTTTGTACTGAATTTAATTGCTTGATTTTGAGCCAGGGTTCTCCAGGACACTTCAGAGTTCTCCATGATGACAGCTGTTGAAGTCAAACAGATGCCTGGGAGCTACAGTGATCATCACTGTAAGACTCTGATAGATCATCACTTGTGATGGATCCAATTGCAAGACCTTGCCAGCCTCACAGACCTGAGTCCCAATGGACCTCAGGTGTTTCCTGCCTAATGGCAAGACATACATACAGACATTTTCAATTTAAAGGTGTCAGCTATTCCATTTTACATTGGCAGTAGTTTGGGGCAAACATCTCTGTCTTGGGAAAAAATCCAATCTTTGGGCCGGGGTAAAATAAGAGACTTTTCACATCATAGTTTTGATGAAATTTAATTTGGGATAGCTGAAGGACAGTTTAAGTAATTGTCACAATTTTGTTCACACCCTGTTTTTTTTCCTTATTTCATCTTAGCACTGTCTTAAATTGTCAGAAGCCTAAATAGGTACTTCAGTGCATTATGTGGTATCACTGACTCACATGGAGGGAGCTTTAAGAGGCCAGACACTTTGTTTTATCTGTCAAGTATTCTGGAAAATGATGTAAAGGACAGAACCTGCACCAGCCTAAAATGTGACAAGGTAAATTGGCTAATGATGATTTTGATTCAAACTGAGTAGTAACATGGCTCCATGCTGAAAATCAATTCTATTTACCACTTTATGATAATTACAAGTTATTTGTGCACACACCTGCTCTGGAATGTACAAGATTTCTGCTTTGGAATGTGAAGGCTTTGGCCAGCAGTACCAAGATTCATACTATATGAAAATCAAAAATGGAAGAACACACATCCTATGCCTCAGTGTTGCCTCTGTCATGTAAATCATGACTCTTTAACAAAGCACTAATTGAGCTTCTGTAAAGCATATTTTAAATAATTACTTGTGAGAAATTATTTCACCTTCAAACAGCTGACTATATACAGATTATGTATACAGAGTCTGACTTTCAAGAGTCTGATTTGTGAGATTTTTATTTATTTTTCCATGAAGTGCACTGTCAGCACAACTCATGGACTCTCTGAGCTCAAAGGTATTTTCCTCTCTCAGCATTGCTAGTTTAAGTTAGTACAAATGCCCACCTTCCAGCAATACAACTTGCCTTGCTGTAGCTCAGAGCTCAGAGCAGGCAGGGGAGCCTCCCCGCCATGGCTCCCGACTGGACTAAAGGCTACACAGGTCCTACTGAATCTCAGTGGTCCCCAGGACACAGGGATTGTAATATGCTGGAAAACATCACACAGACACATGAGACCATGGAATCCAGCAAGCAGATTCAAGTCCTGAAATTGCAGCCTGACCTGCACCCAGCTGCAAGACCTGCTCCAAGAGCCCACTGGGAAATGGAACAATTGAGGTCAGAGACAGCACAAGGTGAGCTAATATAAAACAGGGCTCAGATGGTGGGGTACCCAGCTCCTTCAGTCTTACAAAGGTTAAGGGATTTCGTATTTCACGTAACTCCAAAAAAAGTTTCTACCAGTTCACTTATTAATAAAAATTCACACATATTGAAGGCAATTCAGTGGCCAAAGTCTAAGCAGTTGGTGATCCAAAGGAAAAGAGGACTGGCCATGATCTCACAAGCCTGGTGTACTTCTCCCTGGATAGCCATGCTTACTAAGTGGTGCAAGAGTGTCTTGGGCAAAAAACACCCCAAACAGCAATGCCAAATTCCCAGAACTACATGACATGAGGCCCACAGCGGCAGTATAAGACTATGTATAGAAGCAGGCCCACATCTCTGAACAAACACTGAAAGCCCAGACCTTAAAATAGGGTGGTAGGACTGAAGCATTCCATGCAGTTGTCTTGGCTGTGAAAGCATTTCTGTGCAGCTCCTCCAACAACTAAGGGTTGCAGGGACATGACATTACTGGACTCTGCCCTTTCTTTTCAGGGTGATGATGTGTCTTTCCAGAGTTCTTTTAAGAGATCAGGACTACATACACTTATAACTGAGATTTCGTGACCTTTCATCATGACTTTCATCTTGAAAGATCACTTTAATCCTGCAGCTTCTACAAGATTATTGCAGCAAAAGCAGCTGCAGTCAAATGCTTCACCTTTGCAATATCAAGTAGAAGAGTGGCTTCCTTACCTTTATAAAACACTGCTTCATGCCTACAAAGTGGCAAATATTCTGAACACAAATTTTCATTTATAAGACCTGGTAATTAGCATCATTATTTTCTCTACATCCCCACTTTGTGGAGCTATGTTTCTACAGTTACAGCTTTTCCATTCATTGCAGCAGTTTCTGGGGAGAACTGGGCTGGATGTATTTTGAGTGTTCTCTGCCACACACATTTCAGTAGACTTGTCTAATTTTTCAGATGAGAATGTCTGAGTATATACATACACCTGTCCACTTTTTAGGCAACTTCAACATGGAATACAAATTGTAGTTTCAGAACCACTCCATCAACATTCTTTATTGAGATTGAAAAGAAGACTCCTCCCCACCCTCATGAGGGATACTTCAAAGCAGCAGGCAAACCCTATGATCCTTGGGATTCTGATAGAACCTTAAATGATTCAGAAGATAATCTTAAAAAATAAGAAACAATGTTTTCAGTGTAAAGTATATTATGTGCAGAGATAATAATTTGTAAAAAACTGTAATGCACTGAAAAAAGCACCAAGCCTGTCAGAGGTCAAGGAGTGTCTAGATCACACTTTTAGACATATGATTTAGTTTTAGGTAGTTCTGTGAGGAGCAGACAGTTGGACTCGATCCTTAAAAGTACCTTCCAACTTGATATATTCTATTACATGAAAAAATAAATTAATCATTATTTTAACATGAATGTCAAAGCAAACTATCCAGGAATGTGGAAGAGACTGAAACACTCCACTGAACTGGACCTTGTACAGTTTGTTCTTCTGCCTCAAAAACAGAATAAGAAGGTGATTAAGTGTTTGTAAGAGCAATGCAGGTAAGAAGTTTACTTTCATGTAAGTTCTCCCTTTTCACAGCAGCATCCCAAATATAACCTCACAAGCACAGGATGGGTAAAGGCACTTGGGATCAAAACATGTAAGCCTCTTCCAAGGATGAATTTCTCCTAGCTAGATGGGAAACTAATACATTGTAAGATTAGAAACAGAAATGCTCAAATTCCTAATGACCATTTGACATTAGAAACCAAAAAGAAACTAAAGAGAAAAAGCACTTAATTTCAATGGCAGCTTCCCTGGCCTTGATGCCTTCAGAGAGCCACTGAATGCCTGTCAAAATTTAGGAGGTTCAGTATTTTCAAGAGGCACTAAGAGATTTAGACACTTGCAGTGAAATTTCAGTGATTTTTTTAAATTTAGCCCCTGTCACTAATAAGATCCTTGAGCCTCTTGCATGTTTCCAAGTCCTACATCATGCTGTGAGTCTATATCATGTGTTTGGTTACAGCATCAGCTGTGCTCAGAAGCACAAGAACCACCATAGCTTTCCTCTAGTTAGAAGCAGATGTGGTGCTGGATTGCTGGCAGTGCTGGGAGGGGCTGCACTTTGGCAGGGACCACAAGAGGTCCCTTGGGAATTGCAGCACACAGCTAGGACAGAAGTGGATGTCTCACTGCAGAAAGGTGCAGAAAGGTCTGGCACCTGACAAGGTAATTCCAATGGGGTCTGCCTTTCCTGTTCAAATGAGCTCTTGGATTTGGAACTAATGAGCAAGTTGCCTTGAGCTTCTGGCTCCAAGTTTGTTCCCTGGTTTTTCCAGATTAATCTGCTGGCTATGCCATTTGTTTACTCTTGAAAGACAAAAGGACTTGCAATAAGAGAATTTTCTATAGGTAAGTCGTTCAGGCCATAAAAATGTCCTGTTTGCTTAGGACAAGCCTGTACAAAAAGTGTTAAAATACTGGTGAGTTTCAAGACAAATACTCCTTAGTTCATGAATATACCCTTCTCTCAAAAATGTTAAAAGTTTAACATAAGGAAACAACACAATCTCCAGGAACTAGCATTAAAGAGGTGTTTGCATTTCACAGCAGGATAAGGGAGAAGAAGAGAACAGCAGTTTTGCCCTTTGTGTCCTGGGTATAAAGTGAAGTTTGTGCACCTCAGACCACTGGCCTTGAGGAACCTGTGCTAAGTTTGCTCTGCTCTGAGGCAGAGGTCAGAGCACAGGACCCCCTGTGCTCCCCCTCAGCCCGTGTTGCTCCACGACACCATCTCAGTACAGCCTGCTGTATGTACAGCTAATGACCATTTGTACAAGCACGGAATTTATAAACTGCCTAGCAAATACTCTAACACAGTACATTTCCTAAAATGTCAGGCTTAGCAGGGCCCTGTGGATTCACAGAAAGTGAGGGCAAGCCAGGGAGAGAAAGTGCAAAGGATTCAGCCCCAGCAGTGGAGGAGCTGCAAAACGGCTCCCTTGGAGTCTGCGCTTCCTCCGCACACAGGCTTTGCTGGGCTGCCTTTGGAGCAGCCCTTGCCTTTCCCATATCTGCTGCAGTAGTTATCTTTTTATTTAAATATTTCCATTTAAAACCAGCTTCTCAAGTTCAGGAACTATTTTACCTTACTCAAATAGTTTATTTAAAAATATATATATATATATATAATATTCTCCAATTCAGAAAAGGATAGAACTTCCCGCAATGTAACATTTTTTTTTTTTATATATATATAAAATATTTATGCATTCAGTGAATGGAAACAGTTTTACTGTATACATTTTTAATGTTGTACTCTATGCAAATCTGCATTATCTAAAAATATACCGTACTTCTGTAAATCAAAACAAGCAAGAAAAACCACCGTAGCTGTGCTCTGGGTTATAATACCTAAGAGAAATGATATGAAAGTTTTAGTTTTGAATTTAAGAACTCACAAACAACATTTTACTTTGTGAGTGCATAAATAGAAGACTGAATACATTCTTGCTTTGTTAAGCTGAACTGTAGCAGAGGTTACAAAATGTAAATATATTTATTAATTTTCAGTATTTCAGTGTTTCCAAGTCCACCTTTCATGATAGTGTTAAATAAAACATGGTCCTATCCTTCCAAACATTTCAACACTCTTTAAAAAACAAAAACAAACAAACAAAATTTTAAAGTGAAATGTCCTCCTTCATTGAAGTGTTAGATCATATTTTAAATTACTGCACTCCCACACAATATTTTATATATATATATATTCTAAATATATATATATATATTTATATATATATATAAAGAGACCAAATAGGAGACTACATTTTTTACTGTCAATATGTTTAACATCACATACTGTAGTTGTATAAAACATGCATTTTCTGGGATAATTATGAACACATCATGAATGAGCCCACATAAATTATATTTTTTGTACAACTCCAAGTTAAAAAAAAGGTCAGATTAAGTGCCTCTGAGGCCCTTTCTTCCCAGCTATCAGTTCTCAAAACACACTACTGAAATATTTATCTATGCCTACAGATATGTGCTAGAGAACCCGATTAAAACTTTAAAATACATCTACAGTATATTTTACTTTTCTTAAAGTTTGTGACAGTCCTCGGATATTGTGTTGTGAAATGTAAAAATAGTCACAGATTCTTTTATTTTCCAGAAATAAAATAAAAAAAAAATCAAAAACACATCTAGGAGAGTATGCAAAAACAAGGCAAAATGAAGTTTCATAGCACTTAATGAGGGTTAATATAAGTCAATAACTAGTATTGAGGTTTGTAAAAAGGGCTGGATGAGCAGTTACATGTACAAGCAAATGGTCTGGTAAATCTCATGCTCTCAGACATTGTTCCTGTAACCAGCACTTCTCCACCCTTAGAACCAGTCAATATACATTCAAAATAGGTTGACACTGATATACTTACGAGGTGTAAAAATAGTGCACTATTTTTTCTGCCACAAAGCAAAACTGCATCCTAAGAGCTGGTAAACTTTCCTTAAATAGAAAGAATGGGCAAAAAAAAAGAAACTTGGAAAAAATTTAAATTAAGGCAATTAGACAGGTAAAAGTGGACTGCCCTTGATGACGTAGCTGAAACTAGTATATACTTCAAACCTATACTAGCTGCTGAACACTGACATGCAGCTTCTGATAGATGTGTATGAATGATATAAACTTCAACATTATGGCTTTATACAAGTGCATAGTTGCAACTGCAATAAGTAACGGTATCTGATTAATAAGCATAAAAAAATAAAGTGGAAAGATTTTTAAAACCCTCTTGCAGTATTACAGTACAATATATATACACAGTATAATGGTCACTTCTTACAGATGCAGTCTATATCACTATGGTGGATCTTCCTCCAGTTCACTTGCAGACGTGCTGGTGGCATCTTTACGAAAGCTGAAAAGTCAGTTTCTTCCATTTCAATACTCATTCCTCTCGATCCTTTCATGAAATGTAGTGTATGTGTCTTGCCAAGAAAGCTTTTGTGGAACAGAGTTTAAAAGGTTACCTAACATATCCTTTGACTATTTACCAACCATTCCTCAACTCATCAGTCACTCGGGAGAATACAGGAAAACCCTCAGAGATTAGTAATTTATATTGCAGCAAAAATGTAAACCTCTGATATATATAGCACAATCTCTCAGGAAAATATATATTTTTAATATATTTTGGGATATGTTTCAGTCTTGCTGTAATGGGAAGAAAATTATCACCTTGACTGTGTCTGCATTCACGGAAAGCAGTTAGCTGAAAAAGAAGCAAGAAGTTTGGTCAGTAAATGCAACAAATGTAAATCTGACAGAAATATGCTTCTTCAAAGTCTTCATTTAATATGGGTTCATCATTGTACTTGAGAGAAGCACCTTTCCCCTGCATCCAACAGCAACATTACTTTGGTATAGCACATCTTTACACACTGTAATCCCAAATCAAACCCCCTTGCAATACATGAGGGTAAAGTACAATATGCACTGTGTAATAGTTACTTCTAAAGGATTAGTGATCAGTAAGCTTTTAATACACAAAGATGCAGTATATTTAATTAACATAATGCTCATTACTGTGAACACTAAGCCAGTTAAGTTCTGCAGGAGCTGGTTCCTCAGTTCCCTGAGCACACAGCTGAGGAGCAGCCCCAGCACCACTGTTACACAGCTGAGACACATCTCACACACTGTTTAAAACAATTATTGGGCATTTAACATTTAGGAGTTTTTTTTTTTCTATGTAAATATAAGATTGCATCAATGTGTGAAATGATCAGATACTGAGGTCTATAAACTAGGTAAAGCTATTTGCAGTATATCCAGAATTAAGCCACGGGACAAATCAGATCACTGCAATGGCTGGATCTTTCTAAAGCAGTCAAGGAAACCACATCACAGAAGCTGCAGACCCGTTTGTTTACAGTTTTCAAATGCGTGGTTAGGTACCCAGAAAGCACAGCACTGCAAAGGAATGCCAAGTCAAATTCACTTCAGAACAGAGGCAAAAAAGCAAAATGCGGAACTCCAGTGATTTCATGTCTGCTAGCCATAGACCAGTCAGTTTATGTCCAAAGCTTAAAAATGAAAAGTGTTTGTAAATACCAAGTCTATTTCAGCTAAACATCCAACTGCTACCATCTCCCTTTTATTCTTCAAATATTCTCTGCTGAGGTTAGCAATATTAGCATTAGAGATGAGCAACAACCCTGGAAAAAGCAGTTTTGGGGTTTTTTTTCAGGCAGGCAGACATGAATTTTGAAAAAGAAATCTAAAATTAGAAAAATAAAAACACTGACAAAGGCAACAACTTTGTTTTAATGAAAATGACTCCTCTAAAAGTTCAATATGAGGAACAGAATCTCATTTTTCTGTTTAAAATATTAAAATGAGATCTTTATATTTTCTCTGCTTTGAGAAGCAAAATCCAACATAGCATGCTGTATTCAAAGGCAAACAAATCCATTCCTCTCTATTTAGATTTACCCCTTATACTTCTTCAGAAATCAAAAACATCGTCATCATCATCATCATCATCACCATCAATATCATCAACATCATCAAAGGACCAATCCCAATCCTTAAATGCCAGATCAAGTAATCTGCATGTTCATGTAACTTAAGAATATTGCATTCATTGCAAATTCATCTCAAAAATCATTCCATTCAATATAGAACACTTACCACATTGATTTTTTTCCCCTAGAATTTCAGTAGGAAAGACCAACATGAAGTGGTTTTATGCTCTCCTGCTATCTCCTTCCAGACAACAATGCAAGCTTAACAATTTTCCCAATAAAATCAAGATTTTGAGTGCTGAAAAGAGCACTGAATAAGATAGCTTCATCTGAATGTACAAACAAATAAAGCAGGATTTTACTGTATCCCAAACACAGGGTAGTTACACCACAGAGCTATTCTGTAGTTCATCATTTAAAGTTAAGCAATGCCAAAAAAGAGGATATATCAAATTGTTGTCTAGGCCTCCCTGTCTGTGCTCCTTGTATGGTCACTATAGAACAAAGAAGGCAAGCAAGGCAAACCCTGTCAGCAAATGAGTCATTTTACTTATCTGAGGCATTTATTTTGGGATGGGTGAATCATTGTCTAGAAGCACTCATCTCTGTCTGTTGTAATACCTTAAGTACTGACTTTTCAACTGCTATAGCTACAACAAATGAAAGCCAGCCTAGTCTTCTGTCCAGTGAGCTGGAAGGATCCTAATTAGCATTGTATGCCCAAGCACAGGATGCAGGCATGGAAACCTTACCCTAAGAGACCATCAATATAAACCTGTTACATTGTTTAGTAAAGTCAATCACATGTTTTAAATAAAATGTGTTTCAGGGGAATTTGGATTTTCAGGCTTTAAACTATTTAAACCTTTAAATGTGACAGAGCCCTGAAAAGGCTCAATATTCATTTGTTAATGAACTATGGCTATTACACTTTAAACAATTTATCAGGAAGTAAAATACATTAAATTTGGCTTTTTTCCAACTTGGAATTACCCATCTGGCATGATCCAGCCAAATGGCTAAGCAGAAATTATATAGTCTGTATGAAAAACTGGTTTGCCCTTAAATCCTCATGAAGAAAAACAGCCATGAAAGCATTGAAGAAACCATCATTGTATGAAATTCCTAGCAGGGATAGCATTTTTAGGAGCAGGCAGCTTGGAAGGGACCTCAGAAGATTTCTAGCCCACCCTCCTGCTCAAAGCAGGGGCAGATGCAAAGCCACTGAAGGAAGCTCAAGGCCTTGTCAGGTGTTGAGAGCCTCCAGGGATGAAGACTGTCCAGCCTCTTTGGCCTCCCTCTCTGCACTGGCTTTACCCTGTATCCAGACCAGGAGTGTCTCCTGGTTCAAGGGAGCCCCTTGTTTCTCACCCTGCCACCATGCAGCACTGCCAAGCCTGGCTGTCTCTTGGATACCCTCCCCACAGGCTGGGGCAGGCTGCTGTGGGAGCCCCTGGACATGTCCATGTCCATCATCCGGGCTCAACAAGCCCAGCTCCCTCAGGCGTCTGCTCTGACCATCCTGGTGGCCTCTGCTTGGTCCTTCCCCAGGGTGTTCATGTCTGGCTGGAACTTGGGTGCTCAAAGGTGGAGGCAGTATGGTGCTGCAGACTATGGAGTGAAGAGAGGGGTATAATCTCTTCCCTGCCATCCAGCTCTGCTCCTCTTGGTGCAGTCCCAGAGCCTACCTGGTTGCCAGGGCCCACTGCTCAGTCCCTAGATTGAACTGGCAATTACATCTTCTTCTTAATAAAGTTCATAAAAGAAAATTATTTCATATGGTAAGCTCTTGCACAAAAGCCTCATAGAAGCAACACTGACCTATAAATTTACCATAGCAATTACAGCTATTTATGAGTATATGGTTTCTAATTAAAGGTGTTTAAATCCATACAAATTTCCAGGTCAGTTTGACTGACCTGCATTAATCTGGTAATAAGTGACATGACCTCACAGAAGTACACTTTTCATCTGTTAGGTACATTTGCAAGGCTAACTTGGAAACTTAAACTGAAGAATTATATGCTTTACACACAAAAATAATTCTCCTCCTTTTTTCACCAGTATAGAATGGCAAATACTGTACTATGAAAGCATTTTGTACAAAAGCTCAAGACTGAAAAAAGGGTACTGGAAGGAGAAGAATTATTTCCAGAACACCTAAGAATAGCCATTGAAAAAAAAAATCAGAATTTATAATATGCATTTATATGTTAACAGCAAGAAACAGAGTACCACCACTAAGACTGCAAACAGTATGCAGAAGAAAAGCAATCTACCTGTCCCCCAAATTGTCACAAATGTTTTCTTGATTCATGCTTTCATTCCTATCACTCATGTTTTGGTTATTTTTGCACTAAGAAACTCTTCAATAATTGTTCCCTAAAAAGTGATTTTAAAGCTTTTTTCCTTCATGATTATAATAAATCTACTAATTTAAATTCCAAATTTTGATTTGGATCAAATATGATTCTCTTTAAAATATGTAAATTAAATCGCCAAAAATTAGACTGTTTGAAGGTTGAGAGGGAAGTGCAATTAAATTACTCTAGGTCCTTCCACTATGCATTTCCACCCATTAAAATCCCAGCATCTGTTGAAGATTTAACTCTTCATAGCATAAGGATGTTTTGTGGTAATAGCAACATCAGAGCAAGAGTTTGCTTCCCTGCATTCCCCACTGTAACTCTGGCCACTCACCCAGCCCAGGTCTCACCAAGCCAGCTGAGATACTGGTGCCAGTCTGGTCACAGAAAAAGGGACAGCAATCCTGTCTAGGCACTGCCTAATTACCTCTCTGGGGAAAAATGTTAAGCCTTTGCTAAACTGGAATACTGCAAGGAACAAAGTAAGTCAGACAAACCTTTTCACAGGCTGCCAGCACTGGGAACTGACAGAAGCAAACATAAGCTAGTACTGCAGGTGATGAAAAAAGCAAATTGGAAAAAAAGCAGAAACTCTGCACTGCATAATCATATAAATGCTACCTGCAGAATGCTATCAACTTCCACAGCACAACACATAGGATTCTGCTCCTTAGAAGTGATCCAGTCATAAATGAATTTTTGTATGGACAATTTTTAGCAAATCAGAAGAATCTGATATGACTATTCTTTCAGGAATCCTGAGACATTAGCATGAGTCCTTCTACCCCAAATAAGGAACTGAAACCAATTGTAGTAAAACATGCAAAACAATAAATTAAACAGCAGCTCTTGTGTCACCTTGGTTTGTTTGGAGGAAGCTGTCGACTTGGTCGTCTGATGGACTGGTTTGGCTGTACCTTCATGGAAGTTCTAGGAGAAGATCGAGCAAAGGGGTCTGGTGCTGGAGGCTTCTTGGGTATTTTTTTCACCAGTCGGCTCACCCATTTTTGCTGTTCTTCTGTAGAGTTAGCTAACAGTAGCAGATTCTTCGCGGTAGAAATATCATAGTACACTGTAATAAGATTTAAAAAGTAAAAATTATTATTCTTATTATTCTAAACATGGCCTCACATCAAAAATTAGCTGTCAGATTAGCATATTCTCATACTTGATGCAGAGAAATCAGCAGAGAGGTCAAAAGCAAAAGGAACCAGTAGGTTTCCTGCCTGCTCACAGTACCTCCTCCTTATATTTAGAGAGTAACAACTTAGTACTGTGGAAGATACACATTCACATGGGAGAAAACACAGGTAATACAAAGAGGTGTGACTGAGACTAAGAAATTATATACCACTGTGTCACAAGGAGCAACCTTCACCAAATGTAACCCCTTCCACAGCACTGTTGTTTCCCACAGCAGAGCAAAACACACAGTGTGAGCACTTCACAGCCACCACGCTCCGCTGCATGAGGATGACAACACAAAAGGTACACGCACAACACAGCCCCACGCCATGAGCTCACAGCAGAGTGACCCTCATGGAGACACCCTCGGGTCTGATGGCCATGTACTAATAAAAGACAAACCAACCTTTATGTTTAGTTGGGGTTAGATCATTACTAGAATCCTCTGATATTAGGATGCCTCTTGACTTCAGCACTATCTGCATATTCAAATACTTGCTATTTACCTTTGCAAGGCGCTATAATCTCTTCTTTTTTATCCATGTGATCTTTGTGACATTTGATATGGCAGCGGCGACATTCCAGAGCAGGAGGAGGTTTAAACATGTGCCACAGGGGCTTCATACAAGCTTCACAATTGGTTGGGAAGTGGTAAAGAGTAGGTATAAACTCATGTCCTTTGTGACAAATGTAATTTGACTTCTCTCCCATGGGCTCCACAGGAAATTCCTGTTCCTTTTTGCTCTCTCCTTCATTAGCATATAGGATCTAGAATGAATGCAAAATAATCTCAGTACTCCTAGATGACAAATATAAATTCAGAGTCATTATCTTAGTACAAAGACTAAAGAAGTACACTAGGAACGATTTTTCAATGATTTTTAGTAAATATTTCATTAGACAATATTTTTGACAATGTCTGAAATCCAATGTCTGTTACACTAGAAACATTAATTTAATAATGAATACCTGGAATATCCTAGGAATTTCCTTGGAATCTGCTCTGTACACATCAGTCTGAGTGACTGGTCGGACATGGAAGAGTTTGCTATAGGAAATTGTTTCAATAAGGACAAAAATTATTGTTACCACAATGATAAATGTGACAGGTCAAGTTAGGATACAACATACCACATTAACACTTAGAGTCATTAAAGATTTGTCAAATTTGTACAGATTTCTAATCACTTGATAAAGCCCTGTCTTTCAACCCTGCACATGAACTCCCAAAAACCTTTAATAAAAAGAAGTGTATATATATATATATATATATATACAGATATATTTGCAGAAGCACTGAGAAACCATCATCATGTGACTTTAATGGCTGCTGGCACCTTTCTAACACAATCCTGTCCCCATGCTCTGAATAGCCACATTCTGTTATTTATTAAGAAAATAAATTAACTATATAACCCATCTGTAAGGCCATGTTGTAAGAGAAAATATATGAACACTGAAAATTATATCTGCTGTTACAGTTTTCTTTGTGTGCTTTGCTCCCAAGTGTGTGTGAGGAAGGTCTGTCTGAGCTAGTGGGTGCAGTTCAGTTAGACCAGGGCTCAGTGCAGCTCCCTAGATCAGTCTGAGCACCACACTGCTCCTCCTGCACCAGTGCCAACAGCAAACCCCACTCATCACCACAGTGGGTACCCAAGGGTCCAGCTCTATAGCTGAGATTAAAAAAAGTCACGTCCCATGTAATGTTGTGCTTCCAGACTGGACCTCAAAAGGCCATTTGGTCAGAGATCTTTCCAACAGAGTTCACCTACAAATCAGAAGAAGGAAACACACGTGGCAGTACTTACTCTATATCCAATACCATATGGGGATTAGATTGTTCTTTATCTTGTTCGCTGTCATAGAACAGGATCTTCTTGCTGCTTACAATTACATACTGTTAGGAGACAAAAGGACAAAACATGTTTTAATCCAGCTTATCACAGATGTCAAATATGTCACAGCAATTATCTATCACATTATCTATCATATGCTGTAGCAATATTTTTCTACAATTTGATTAAATGGTACCTAAGTGGACAATGGTAGTACTGTATACTAAGTCCATGCCAAGGAATTCATTGCATAACAAATAAAATTCTGATTACCTGAAAAATCAAGTTATATTATCAGATTACTGATTTTTAAACATATGTTAGTATCTATGAAGAAACAAAAATAAAACTCAGGAAGAAAATAGGATATAAGCTTTTCCTTCCTATTTTATTGATTTATTTTTCACTTTTGAAAGTGAAAGGACTGGTAGAGAGAGTAACAGTCATCCTCTGCCTATTTCATGTGTGCAGGTCATACCTAATAGGGATCATACTTAAAGAGATCACTATTATTCTTACCAGAAGAGCTAATTACCTAAAAGATGTCCTACTTCAAGAATTTTGGCTAGAATTAACTGTATGACAGCAGTAAGGAAATTTGCATATAAATGTGTATTGTTACATTTTGGACAAATACTCATGAAAGAGGTTACTGAGAAGCAGTAAACAAATGAAGGCTGCACAAGGCAGGAGGAGTAGGTTTTAGTCTTATTTCGTAAATAAGGAAATTGCCAAGAGCACCTGTTTCCAGACTCTGCCTAATTCCAGTTATGTCAACCTGCTGGGAATGCTTATAGCATGTCTAAACATTTGTAGATCATGAATGAATGTTCTCACTTCTGGCTATACAAAGAGGTATCTTAAGCTACTGCAGTTGTCTTAAGCTGCTTCTCTCAGATGTAGCTATACTAGCTAACATATTTTATGTGTTTAAGTAATGAGAATCATGTATCAAAGAAAAACTGAAGTGCTGAAAACCTACATTAAGCTTAAAGTTGAACCTATGCATCAAAAACATAAATCTGGTTTTCTTACCTTTTTAACCCATCCAAATTTTTTTGTGTTATTTCTAACAGGCATTGATAGCCAGCCTTCCAATCTTGATTCTGAAAAAAGAGATAAGTATTAAAGAACAGACAAAACATTGTTTTTGGGACTACTGTGCATTTCAAAAGTTATTGAACATCAATAATAAAGCAGGAGAGCAAACATGGGAAGATGAATTATTTACCAGTATGAGATCTTGCCAAGTTTACCATGGTAAATGTTCAGGAATACATTAAATAATGTACCCCTGAGTACAGCCAATAACCAGCAATGCAATCACAAAAAAGTAGTAGACAGAAGGAGGAAGGGGAAGAACAAACTTGCAAATATAGCACACGCATTCCCTTTAGTAATTTTTTCAAGTCTTGAAAGCCTTGTATCTATTAACCTTTACCTTTTACAACAGCACCTGAAGATATTAGTACAGACCACACATCCAATCCAAGACCAAAAAAAAAGACAAATTACCACCACAAATAACCTATATACCCTATATGCCGGGGAAAATGTCAGTTTAATATACAAATTCATACTTTTTGGTCTGTAAATTTTTCTTTTCTCTAATTCTGCCTGCATCTCCTGGGCTTTCCATTCAAAATAAGTAATTTCTGGTTAACCCTTAGGCCTTGCCTGAATACAACTGCCCTTTCACACACTTGCAGTATTTTATATAACACTGGCACATTTGTCAGATTTGATTTATCAAGAATATTGAGAGCTCAGCTGTTGTTTGGCACACACATTTCAGTAGTCACCAAAAGCTCAAGAGGATCACACTTTCCCATACCCTTTGACCTTATTTTTGTAGCTGCACTTAACACAAGTGTTTCTTCCCCCTATGTGTTATTAAGGGGAACTATTTAATTGCAATAATATTTTCCTAATGAGTTTTATACACTAGCAGATAACCTCTACTGCTGCTGAGGGACCTCCAACTCAGAAATAGTGAAGTGTTAAGCATTAACAAACACAAAACCATGGAACAAGCAGAAACATACTCCAAAATTACAAAAAAATTATTTTCCTTCTCGTCAGAGGGCATTTGCAGGTTCCTGCCTATGTTTAACACAGTGCAACAAATAATTACTAGATATTCATAGAATTCTTTTAGGGTCTAGAGAAACTTAAAGCAAGATACACAGATACACAGTATCTTCAACATTTATGGCCCTACCAGCAATGCTGTTGGTGACCTACTTTAATACACACATCAAGTACATTATGTACTTTTTGTACACATTTGTACATTTTGAAATGTGTTTTGCCTCATAGCTGCCACCTTATATTGTTCCTCTCAACTACACCTCATAGAAAGTGTAGGAAGCACAATGTTACTGCAAAAAAATAGTCTATGCCATATCCAGGAAGCACATGTAGGGCACAAAATATGCATGTTTCTCCTATTTCCAAATATATGATTTTCCTATTTTTCTCTGTAACCTGTAATACAGATTAAATTGGACAAAATGAGAGTTTCTGATTATACTTTTTCACTTCTGGTGTCCATTCAATACTAACAGATCAGAAAAAGGGCAGAATATTCCAAACTTCTCACAATACATGTTTATAAACACTAGGAGGGGAAAAACAATGGAAGATAACTATCCTATCTCAAATCTTTTATAATTATGTCAACAAAAAATCCCAGCTTAGCTATGATTTTTACTTTAGAACAAAGCAAATCCATGCACATATCAGAACAGCAGCTAGCAAGGAAAAAAATATGTATGTATGGAGATTTTATTTCATTGGAAGCTTCAAAGCAAAAACCAGAGGATGAGGAAAATAGAGGAAATGCATTATTCTTTACTCTAGTTTGATGAAATAAGGTCAAAATGCCAAAAGAGGTTGTACCTTCAGAGGAAAGGTATTCACACTTTAAAGGAACCTCATGTGAAATAGAGTAAGTGGAATGCAATAAAATACCCACCTCTAACATTAACATGAAACAGAAGCTTTGTTAAAAGGGTGTATGTATACTCATATCAAATGAACACAGAATTAGTAAAACAGGGCCTTATCACTCATAATATACTTCTAAGGCAAAACACTGTAATTCTCAGGACTGTAGAATGAATTTCTACAAGAAAATCACATATATTTAGATGAGAGGAGTAAGATGTTTCCACACTTCACTTAAACACAAAGATTTGATTTCTTGCTATCCAGCACCTTAGGGTCATACAGAGAGCTGCAGATACTGTGTAGGGGCTATCTTGAAAACAAGCCATAAGGCTCATTTATTCAATGTCTCAGTAAAAATGGTGGGTTTATAACTGTCAGCAAGCATTTGCAAGCATTTAGAGAAAACAGGCCAGTTACTTGTTCATGCAAACTTTCTCATGTATTTGTCAGTAATGTTTACTGCTGCTGCAGTGTGTAATCTGCCAGATTTGGTTTATGCTTCTTTAATTATGCATTAATAGTGTTAGTTCTGAAACAGAGAAAACGACACAATAAGAACAAAACCAAATGGTTCTTAGGGATGTCACCTGCGCTATCAACTTCTGTAGGGCTGTGTGAACAAGACAAAGGTTCTTCCTCTGAGTCAGAATCGGAATCAAGAAGCATGCGAGAACTGGAAGGCTTAGTGGCAATACTGACAGAGGTAGAAGAGTGCTGATAGGTAAAGGACATGGATTCCATAGTGTGAGACTGAGTGATATGGACTAAACATAAAGCATAAAGGAGGAAATTAGAAAAGAAGTCAAAATAGAATCTCTAAGAGATTATTAGTTTTACATTTCATAACATACACACAGTAATTGTAAAGTAGCCTCCAAAATAAAGTTAGTTCCATTGGAGTTCTAATGGAGCAAAATAGAATTAAAAAAAAAAATCTTTAAATAAATGTAAGGTGAAGTATTACAACAGACAGATTTAACTAGCATGTAAACAAGTGATGACTATCAATGGATCGATAAGATTGTAGAAATAGATGAAGATGTAAATCACAGAATCATCAGACCATCAATTTAATACTCCACTTTCTATGGAAAAACACTGGTATAAACCCAGTTAATGAAGAAATACTGATAAAATTTACATACCAGGGAATCCATCATCTGCCTCAGCTTCTCCAGGTCCACTGCCTATGCTACTGCTGTCCAGCCCAATGTGCAGTGACTGCAGCTGGGAACGAAGCTGTTCAATGTCACTGTCTTTGCTGTCCAGAGTCATCTGCAGTTCAATCCGTATCTGACTCTCTTCTGCTATTTGCTGCAGGGATAAATTGCAAGATTTCCTATTATCACAATATTTGGTTACTCAGAGAAAATTACGCAGAATTCATAGCCAATCTCAATATACATTCTGTGTATTTCTTTTGGTTGGGGAAAATTCAGAAATGGAGACTGGATACTTTACCTTAAAGTTTGTATCAATAGTATGATTTTACAGAAAATACTGCAATGTTTATATTTACAAAAGGATCTTACTGCCTGCATTTCATTTATTTCCTTCTGATATTTGATCATCATCTGGGTTAACTTTTCTCGTTCAGACTTCAGTTCCATATGCAGCTTCCTATTTTCCTTTTCCTTCCGCCGTACATCAGTGTCAGCTCCACGTTTGACTGGACCCTTCCGATTCATGATTTCAGCCAATTTATTCACAGCCTTCCCATAGGAAAAAAGAAGTGACAAGACCCACACTAATAAATACACAGAGTTATGTTGTGAAGAAATAAAGTCTTCTGTCTATAACCAGGCACTTCTAACTATAAACTAAGACCTCTGCAATCCAGTACTAGAAGCTTGCTTTAATCCAATGTATTACACAAAACGTAAAATAAGGTAATGATGCCATTTTTACTTGAAGCAAGCATTAGCTGTGTGATCACTTTCACTCATTTAAATAATCCCTTCAATTTTCATTAGCTAGACCCAAAATATGTCTTTGTTTTAAAATGACACTTGTTCTAAAAAACAATCTAGATTAAAATCAGAAATGTACTTCTTTATACAGAGGAAAAGGCTGACTAGAGGAAAGCCTGAAACCAGTAATATATCAAATAATTTGACAGAAATTAAGGCTTTTGCTAGTGGAATACATCTGGATTAGAAATTCCTCTATTACAAATCATAAGGATCCATTTTCACTACTAAGTAAGTCTACTTAGAAGAAGGAAGAGAAAAACCCATATATTTTCTTTCAGAGCAAAAAGAAATAAAGCCTTACTAGTACATATCTATTGTTTATAATGGAAATTATTATATTAAAAAAATATTTGATTCATGAACACTGTGTCTACATGTATTTGAATATATTTGCTTACCTGGGTTTTTAATGTTCTTTCATTCAACAGCTGTTTCTCAAATTGTGCTTTAATATTTCCTACATTTGCTTCTTCTTCTTTCAGCTTTGTAATTTCTGTAGCAAGGTAATTGAAAGAAAATCTATGAAAACTCATTACAAACAAATATAGTACTATAAAAGAACAATTAAGGGTTCTAAGGTTTCAATTTAAGGGATCTAGTTTCAATTTAAGTCACATTTCAGAGATTACGTACGTTCTTGTGCTTCCTTCAGTTTATTGTTTAGCTCTTCTTTCTCATTAGCAAGATTAGCCACATCACTAGTTAGTGTCCTATTTGCTTCCTCCAACTAAAAAAAAAAGACATGTGACCATGTAACAAAACTCATGTGGCAAATGAAGAAGCATTAAAGGACAGAAGGAAATGCTGCAGAGTGTAGACCAGGATAAGAGGACTTGCTGTAAGAGGGGTAGGGGCACAAAAGAAAGAATGGTCAGAGAAATGCATGGAAGAAACACGGTAAGAGACTCTTGAATTTCAATCATAAGAAATAAATATTTTTAAAACATTAGATATACTCATCTATCTTTAAAGCTGCTAAAGATCAATGGATAACTCAAACTGCAAATAAAGCTCATGTACAACTACTACCAAAATTACAGGTCATGTAACTCACCGAGGCTATGGTGGCATCTTTCTCAGTAAGTTCCTGTTTATGCCTCGCCATCATCTCTTTAATCTCCAGCTCTTTCATAATCTTCTCTTTTTCCAGATCAGAGTACTGTTCCTCCGCAATGGAACGGGCAAGTTGTTCTGAGTCTGCTTTTGTCAAAGTGATCTCTAGCTGAGCAGCCAAGGAATCTCTGCAGATTATTGACATATACTTTTAACTTTAAAATGGGTAGGTTAGGGAGGGGAGGAAAGAAAACAGCAAAAAACCATCCTGATCTTTTATGTATTAGTAGCCCAACTAGCAAACCTACCTCTCATCCTGTAACTCTTGTATCTTTTGCTGCATTTCTTTACAAATTTTGGTCTTTTCCTCACATTCTTCTTTAAGTTCTCGAACTTGTGTCTTATAGAGAGTCTAGAATTTAAAGTTCGAAAGAAAATTATGTGATTTCTATACTATTGAAGGTCCACAAAAATTATACAAGTTGACATGGTATGCAGCTCCTTAATCACATTAATTGGAGTATAATTGTGCAATGCCTTCTCTATACTTATCTAAATGTCATCATCCTCACTCACAAATGTGCTTTGGTTATTTTACTTTGTTGTTGTTCCTTTTTTAACTTGTATATTTGTAGATTGTAGATGTATGATATACATTTTCTATGTTGGTATACATACTGTTGAAGATAACTATTTCATACAAAATCAGAAGTATCAGAAGCAGAGAAAATAATTTCTTTATCTATTGTAAATGCATGTGGAGTTTAGATTCTAATAATATAAATCCATGAAACCAACATGACAGTTAAAGAACTAAAAGAAATACAGGAATAAGAGAAAAACCAATTAGAAAATAATTTGAAATTCAAAATTTCATGGAATCAATATAAATCTAAAACTCTGAAGGAAATGAAAATGACTGACTACAAGTCAAGTGACAGACAACTCTAAGTGTACTTACTGCAGGGATTTCAGGACAGATTGTCTCTCTCTGGCCCATCTACAGCAGTAAACTGACCTCAATTCTCCCTTTCTTTCCTATAATGTGTATAACATTTTCATCTATAAAACTTTAGGTAGGCCTTCTCCTCACAGACCTAAATCCACAAGGAAATCTTAATTTTCCGTTAATACTGAAACAAGCCTTTTGGCATCTCCAGCAGTGCAACTGGCTGTGCACTGTTAATAAAAATTAACCTCCACATGCCACTGATGATTTTTAAGTATTTATTCTGGTTCACCATACAACAATAAATGAAAAATTCCCAACAGACACTACCAAGTTTGGTCGTAATGCAAAATTTCCTCCTGAGCCGTAGATGCACATGTTTCGTCACATCATGTGAGAATACAGCTCTTCTCTACCAGACAGCATAGAAGAGATGCTGAATGCCAAAGGCTTGAAACATGCAGAGATTATTCACAGGGTGGGAAAATGAGCTGCCTGACTCCTCCCTCTGAACTTACAAAGCTGGGACATTTCTCAACATGAGCTTTTTGTGCTGCTCAGTGATCAAGATCAAGGCAGCAGACAGCACTGGAGACAGCCACAAGAAAAACAAGTAGCTTTGGGTTAGAGATGTGAAACATCTGATGGCTCAGGGGGAAGAAGAAAAGCTAACATACTCAGTAAACAGATTAATATTAAAATAAACCAGCATAAAACATACTGAGAAATATTGTTCAGCTTCGAGCTGGTCTTGAAGCTCTTTCATTTGTCCATCTGCATCTTGACGTTCCCTAGAAAGGAAAAAAATGATTTAGAGATATGAAGATATTCCAAAGCAGTAAATAGAAAAGACAGCATTCACACCCTTGAGATCTCCAGCAATTTCTTGACCTAAGTATCATCAGCTATTAAACTTGAAGCTTCCTCTGGGTATCAGCTCTCTTTTTCACTTGTACAGCTGAGAATACTGCAGTAATAAGTCAGTTTAATACTGCTAACACACTAACTACAACAGTGTCACAAAGTTTAACCAGTAAGAAACACTAATAAAGTAAACAGCACCAACAGAATCTTATTTCCATGTAAAATGTGACTGATCTGACTGGTTGTTCTGGGTCTCTTATTTGCTAGTTCACAGTCTGTGAATGTCTGTATTCCTTGACACGCATATTTTCTTGAATTCATCTGCTATTTAAACAACAGTCAGCTCCTTAACAACAGAAATGTAGCAGAAAGTACTTCTGTCAGTGTTCCACATTATGGCTACCTTCTACACGACTAAATACATTTTGCTGAAAAGCAAAGCACAGGGAGACAAAGTCATAAAGGAGCTAGGATTGAGATTCATCTGATACTAATGGTAATCTGGTCTTTTTATTCACAAGAAAGTTCTTTATGTAAAAAAAAAAAAAAAGTTTCTTTCCTTACTTACTATCAGGTGCAAATACTGCTTCTGCTTGTAAGACCTTGAAGAGCTCCTATCTAGACTCCTACCTAAAGGTCCTACAGATGTGTTTAAAGATCTGTACTACTAGATATTTCCAAATGGTTATGCTTCGTAGCTCTGTAGCAGTATTAATTTGCAACTTTGATAAGCTCCCCTAGACTAATAATTCCAGTAACTTTCCTCTTCATTAAAGTCCTACATCATTAAAAAAAAGTACCTAGACCTTCAGTTAAATAAGAGTTTCTCTGAAGTTTTCAGACTTACATTTAAGCTGTGTTTTCTAAGATTTTCAGAATAACAAACATATTTTAATACAAACCTATACATTGCTGAATTACTAGGGCAAGTCTCAATTAGAGTCACTGTAAATTATTTTAAAGAACAATTAAGTTTTGCACTGTAGAATAGCATATTCTTTGCAGCAATTATTTAAAATTAATTTTACTCCCAACTTTTGTTCCAAAAATATTTCAAAATCAGTAACATGACTAAAACATATAGAACAACTTGCATACTTGCGGAGTTCATTGTTTTGTTTTTCCAGACTTAATTTGATTTCTTGAAGGTGGTTATTCTCCTGTTTTAACTGCTTCTCTGACATTTTCAAGGTGTTGACCTGCTGTGTTTGCATCTTGAGGTCATTTTGAGTGAGACAGCGTTTTTGTGTTTCTTGCTCTATTTTTAATGTCAAGTTTTTTACCTGAAAAAGAAGCAGAAACCTGTGAATTTTACAGATCTACACAGGAAAACATCATTTAAACAGTCTCTAATTGACTTCCTTTACATCTTTTGGTAACTCAAAGCTGCTTCCTGAATAAAGGCATTAGCACACAGTAAATTACCTAGCTTTTCCATGTCAATCTCACAGCATTTTCCACTGTAGAGGACAAACCTTTTAACACGAATAATGCTGAAATATTTCAGACAAATGACACCACATTCCATGAAGCAGACTTTTTAAAGTTTCAAAGGCAGAGAAGAAAAACTTTGTTGCAATTTTCATTCACTAATATTTCTAAATACAGCTATAACAGGAAAACTACTAGGACATTGGAAACAAAGTTTGACTCAAGACTCCTTCTGTCAGTGCTCCTTACATCTTCACTCAGTATATCCTTTTGCCGAAGGAGCTCATTTATTTTCTGTTGCGATTGTTTGAGATCACAGTCCAACATGGAGCGCTGCTTCTCAGCTTCCAACAGCCGATTTTCTACTTTCTGCTTTAGAGCTCTCTCTTCCAAAAGTTTCTTTTCCATTTCTGTGAAGTAAAAGATGTAAGACATCAGTGAAGTGTAAAACAGGAGATTCTGGAGGCCAAAGGGAAGAGGATGTCTACCCTGTACTAACGAAAAGCCACATGTTTCTCCTTTTAAAACTGAAGAGAAAGACTATTTAAAAGTGATTAATTAAAATTTTCACAGTAGATACACACCCAGAGGATGTTTTTTCAAGCATTTCTGACAGAGCTATTTCCTACTTTTGAGTTTCTAGATAACTTCCAGTTTATCTGCAACACCTCTGAGATTAAGAAAACGGGTGGAATTTAAAAAATAAAACATTTAAATATACTGTCCTCTGTGATAATATAAAATCAAAGAGTTGAAGCTATTTGGGAACCTGATATGCCAAGTGACTCAGCCATTATTACTGAATCATTTTTGCTTCTTTTGAAGATCTGCAACCTCAAAATTTTTGTGAATGCTCTTCAATTGGAAGGACAGGATCTGTAGGTAGCTTTTTAATTAACTGAAATGTTATTAATTATGTTAATAATTAATAAAATTAATAACTAAAAATAACTTAAAATGTTATTAATTATTATTTATGTTTATGAAATAAACATAAGCCATTTAATTGAAAAGTAAGAGCCATCTTCTGGATTTTTTTGGTAATTATCCCTGTCTTCAAGATACCTCAGTTGTAATACGCACAGTGAAAGATTCTATTATCTACTTTGTATAATTCACACCTAAGTCCAACTGTGATGCCAAATAGTTACCTTTCATGGCTTCAGATTTTGCTTCCTCTATAGACTCATAGATTTTATTTTTGTCTGCTAATCGTGCTTTTGTGGCTTTATGTTCAGCTTCTTCTTGTTCAAGGTTCTGCTGCATAACTTTGAATTTATATGTCATATCTATTTCCATGTTGCTCTTTTCCTATTAAATTAAAAATAACATTGAAATAAAACATTAAATACATCAGGTTAGTGGCAGAATTTTGAACAACAGTAACATGCTGTTTGAAAGGATGCTTGGAGCAGAAGAGAGAGCTCATGCTAAAGAACTAACTGAGAACTCATTTCCATGTGTTTTTTTTTGTGAATGACAAAGCGCTCTAAGAATGTACAGTGACATCCCCAGTTGCAAACAATTACAGAATTACTGCCTTACCAACCAACACTCTGTAGTAAGAGCAGCTCAAAGATTAAGTTTATTGAAGAAATTTTTCAAGCCTTTTGTTTCAATAACATATTTGTTAAAAAAAATCCTATTAGCAGAGGCTCTTTTATTTTTGTCAATAATGAGAGTGTAAAAATACTCCCCACATGAAATGAAATGTAACTACTCTACTGTTAAGGTACACAGCAGAGTACATAATTAGGCACTTAAGTACTTCAGAAGTAAAATGTATCATGATTTTTTTGGAAATTATGTCATTTTCCTCCCATTTATCAAATTGGAAAAAAATTATTAAAAAAAAAAAATCTGAAAACAAGACTTATTTTTTGTATAAGTTTGGTTGCAATGTCTCAAGTAATAAAAGTACAAATCAAAAATTCCTTAAGAATGTAACACTGATGTTAATTTAGCAGTTCTGTTACCTTTTCTAAATCTGTGAGCTTTTCCTGCAGTTGTCTCTTCTCCATTTCCAGTTTAGCTAATGCACTCTTTCCATTTTTTACTTCTTCTTCGAGGCTAGTTATTCGACCTAAAAATTACCAAAATATCAATGAGGTTGGTCAGTGTGTGAAAACAAGACTGTATTTTATCTATTTAGAGACTTTTGAAATATAAGAGTTTCTAATTCTGACTATTAAGAATGCCTCTTTTTGGGTGATTCCACAAGTTATCAATGTTTTATAGATGTTACCACACATTTTTTCTAAAATGCTATTCACAATTATGTAACATATTATAAAACAGCACACTTATCTAGTCACAGTCTGAAACTCAACACCACCCAAACTAGAAACAAGACGCAATCTTAACTTCAGAAGATTTGCAGAAATACCTTGTAAATCACTGATAATCTCTGATCCATGACTTCGATCTCTCCTTTCTGATTCTAGAGCTGACTGAAGATTGAGATACTCCTTCTCCAGTTTGAGTTTTGCATTCTCTAGCAGGCAGTTCTTATCTTGTAGCTCTCTGTTATTAATTTCCAGCTGCTGGATTTGCTTTGTGCTTTCTGTCTGGTTCTTCCTTAACCTGGCTGCAGTATCAGACTCTGACCGCAGCAAAGAATTGGCTTCATCCAACTAAGAGTGATAAAAACATACTTCAGAAATAATTAAAATATAAACCCCACTATTTCTACTACAGAATACTGAATTTTATGGATTAAAGAAGCAAGGAGTATATTTTAAGATTACTTTTGAATACCAAAACCTAAAGAGAAAGAACAGCTTTTAAAATCCAATTACATATTTCAAATTCCCCCACTGTTACCAAAATCTGTTCTGTAATCAGTGATTATTTTAAAATATGTGTATATAAAGTTGGCATACTTGTCTTTGTAATTGATTGATTTTTTCATTGGATATTTGAGAGTTTTGATTCCTCTTTTTTAAATCTTCAAGTTGGTCTTTCAAACTGTTAACTGCAACAAAAACAATTCAACATTGTTAATCACTGCCATGAAAATGCTTCAGTTGGAACTATAATTAATTTATTTTAAGTATTAAAAACCCACATCAAAATGGAACCTTTAAGCATGGTTCAACATACCCTCATTTTCCAAATTGCGTTTCTTATCTGCTTCATGTTCTGCTTTCCTCTGGTATTCTGTATTCTTATGCTGAAGAAGAGCTTTCTCTCTCTCTAACTGCCTGACTGCAGACTCTACATTCTTCCTTGAAGTTATCTGGATATATTTAAAAAAATACACTGCTAATTACACACACAGGAGTAGTATTCTTATACGATAAAAACACAGCTCATGCACTCAGTTTAGTCGGTAATGGAGGAAGCCAGTCCTGCTGCAAATACAACGTACCAGAACACGTGGTCAAACCCAGCCCAGGATGTCTATGGCCAGGAGCTTTGCAATTTAAATACTGTTTGATCATCTGGGTTTGACAAACCTGGTGGACCTGCCTAAGCAGTCACTCTGGGAGCAGAGAAACGTACATGTAAAGGTACAGTCTTGACGTGCACCTGCATGAACTATGCATTAAGTTGTACACAGCCATATCCAGATTTGTAGAAGCAGTAAGGTGCAAAGCTGGGCAAGAAACAGGGTCCCATTACTAACATCAAACAAAAGCATGGCCTTTCTCCTCTGGAAATACTACTCTCACACCTTCAGTTTTTAAAATCTGTATGGGATATTTGTGTCATGCTGTCTGCCAACTTAAAAATATGGTAAAAAACTAGTTCTGGAAAGAAATGTGCAGTTACGGTACAGAAATCATAATGAAAATATTTTAGCAATGACAACAATTTTGTGCTTGTGAATACCAAGAAATCAGCTGGTGTTATTTGTTATAAAATATACAGCTACTCAAAAGCAATTTGCTGTTATTGAGGGAAGAAAATCCATGCACAAATGTTAAAGCTCTAATTCCAGTGAGAAATCTATGGCCTTACCTCTTCTTCGAGCTCTTTTGCTATCTTCTCTAAACGAACACTTGTAGACCTGAACAAAATTGAAAAATCATTTAAAACCCTGCTGATAATACAGAAATAAGAATGTTTTGATGTGTTTCAGTAATTTTATGTAAGGTGTTTTTGTCTCATTAATTTTATGCAAGACATTCTATTTTAAGCAATAATATGAAACCTCAAGGACTGGTGAAATCACTAAACAGTGAGATTCTTATAGGGAGCTAAAGCAAAAAAAACCTCAACAAATCCAAAAAAAACCACTAGTCACAGGAGTAGCAAGAATTAAGCCAGCAACTTACAGTAAGGTCTGCTTGCAGGGTTGGGAATCCCCAAAGTGAATTAAAATGCTTTAAAGCATTCAAAAACAAAAGGTCTAATAAAATATCCTTATAAACATACCAGTTATGTTGAAACATTCTCACCTGTACTTCTGTTCTAGTTCATCTTTGGCTTGTAATTCATTACTGAGCTGTTCTTCTAGCTTGCTTAATTTTTTCTGAAACTGTGTAAAATGTCAAAAAAAGCATGGCCCACATATTAAAATGCTTTCACAGAAAACAAATGCAATTCAATTAAATAACAAAATAAGGGAAAGCGAGGAAAATTAATTCAATCTTCCAGTATATTATTTTAAAACCATCACTAAAATGTTAAATCTTTACAAGGCATTAATTCTGATAATTTTAAATATATTAATTTATAGCAACAAAATTTGCTGCATGCTGAATTGAATTGAATTGTTGCAGAATTATGTGCCACAGATTGTGAGTCATTAAATTTATATGGGCAAAAAACATTGTTACCGGCCCTTTGCTGTGCTCTGTAGCCAGAGACTTTCCACTGGAGCAGATGTTTTTGGATAGCATTTTCTAAATGAAATGAAAAAATAGAAAAGGGGTGTACATGACCAAATTGGACAATATTCAGATAATATGGCTACACATGTTCAGTGACGTCACAAAAAGAAGAATTTCTTAAGTCTTACACCTTGGGAGCTAATGAACACTTTGAAAATGCTTTGATTTGCTTACTCAAATATTTAAAAAAAAATAATTGTGACTCCAGTACCTAAATAGTCATGAAATAAATTTTAAATAATAAATTTTGGATTTATCTCATTACTTCAGGCTTTCAAATGCATTTATTTTCCTCCCTTCCTCTTCTTCCTCTACCCTCCAAACACAAAATGTAATATGTGGTTTTCCAAAACATTTACAATTGTTAGAATTAGAAGATTTCCACAACTGGAACACTGAAAAGGACATCAAAACCAGAGATTTGTTGCTTGAGAAAATACAAATAAAATAAGTTGTCAGAAGTGAAATGCAAAATTTTACCATCTACATTTACTAACACTACATAAAGCAAACATCATGAATGTGACCATATGTATTTCAAACAGGAGTACATTTCTATTTAAAAGCTGAAGTTTAAACTATTCATCAATTCATCAATGACAGGAAGGAAGTCTAATAAACATTTGCATTTAAATTTATCTGATCAATACATAATGCATTTCCTTAATGTATTTTTTAAAGTTTGAAAAAGAATTGTAAGTTTTAAGAAATGTTAACAATATATTATATACACTCAGATAATACAAATGTTTAAATAATATAATGAGTAAGTAAGTATATGAAAATACCATCACTTTTCCTGTCATGCAAATTTAAATTCATTTGTCAGTCTTCAAATGCTGGATAAACATGCTCCATATACTCCAACTGAGTATGATTTAAACATTCCCTTATCCCTGCAGGTGACAATTTACTTTTTCAAATCCTGAATAAACCAGTCATGAATCATTAATGCAAGTGTGGGACCTTCACAGGAGTACTGCTGTTTGTAGGAAACAGAGCTTCACACATTGGCTTTCCAAACAAATTCTGGATGCAAAAAGAATTTGAGAAAAATCTGTATTCATTTATCTTTATACTATAATACCTTAACACTTGAGTACAACTGTTTCAAAATACAACTGATTTACTGCTAACAATTTGGTGAATAAACTTGAAGACAGTTCACACCCACATAAAATTATGTAGGAATTTTTCTATTCCTTTCATAATTCAGATACTATACTTACCTCCTTGTTGTCCTGTAAATAGAAAATACAATTTTTTTTACTCAGGATCATTAAAAGACAAAAAGCCCCCCACAAAACTTCTTTAACATTTATTTTAGACTGTTTCTTTTCTTAACAGACTTAACAAAATTAGTTAATCATCCCATTATTACTAACAAAAAAGGCACTAACCTCATTTTTACTAGATTGCACAGATTCGTTCTCTCTACAAGACTGAGAGGAGTCACTTAGCAACCTGTCAAAAACAAAAACAAATCCCTCCAGCTCTTACTCAAGTTTTTAACAACTCTGGCAGCCTTGCCATTTTAATAAGTTCTCTCAAGTCTCAAGTTGTTCTATGCTACTCTCAGAATGAAGCTTATTTTATTTCGGTGCTAGTGCATCTTTCTGATTTGAACCTTTCCTTAACAGAATGTTTCCAAAACTACAGCAGCTTGTAATTTTTTAATTAATACAATTATTTCCTGATTATTAGGATAAATTCTAAAAAGTTATTATGCTGTGTAAGCTTTCTTCTAAAATAACTAGTAAAAAGCCATTTTAGAAAAATAATTAGAAATCTATCAGAACTGTAACTCTAACTGATTTTTTAAGATATTGTATACTTTTGTGCATATAAAGATACACTGTATAATGAGAGTTACTGAAATAATTGAAAGAGGAACAAATTATTTTACTCAAACTTTGCATTTTGGATCTTCACAAGTGGACATAAATTAATATAATTCAAGAAATAAATTATGTATTTAGACTGAAAAAAAAGAATATAAGAAAAATGTGCAGGCATGCTTTTAAAAATGCATATTAAAGTATCACATACAAATTGTCTCTGTAGTAGGTGAACCCTATGAAAGGCAGCTGGTTTCCCACAAAGGCTTTGGGGATTGGAAAGGTTTCCACGTCTCCCTTGTCGTCCTCAATGTCATCAAAATTACTGCTATCTATATCACTGCTAAGCTCAGGAACAACAGGAGCAGCAGCTATAAAAAGGGGAAAAAAGATGCATTTCACTCCAAGATTCAGTCACTTGCTAGATACTGGTAATCTCTCTAGTGTTAAAAGACTCTCTAGTGTTAAAAGACTGTATTATAAGTTGTCCTTAAATAACTTGGAGTTAAATATGTGTCAACCAGACAGATCTGGAAATACTACTGTGAACAATTTTTTCTAGAGTAATCTTATTTTTGTATTGTTGCCTAATGCATAGACCGTCTAGTATGTAAGACATATTTTCTCAGGTAATCACATTTCAGAATAGAACTTTAAATACAATCATCATTTAAAAAATTCTTAGTAAATATATAACTTTAGAAGTAATGACAAGCTTATAAGAACTGACATACTTTGATTTTTTTACCTAAAGCTATCAGGTTCTCGATACCTTACATGAAAAGCACTAAAACTGAGAAGACCATTGTCAAACTACTGTCTTAACTACCAGAAGATTAAAAGAAAAATAAAACAAGAAACCCACCTCAAAAGAACAAAAAAACCCCAGAGAAATAGAACCTAACATGCATTCCTTTTAGTTAAAATTTCTGAAACATCCAATACCATTGTTTAAAATGGAAACGTCTACATTAGAAACAGGATAAAGATGTGATAATTCCAGTAGGAAAAATGCATATTTATTAACCCTTCCTCATGTAAGGTTTTATAATACAAGTTATAAATATTAATGTTTGAGCAAGATTCTTGAAGATATAAAGTACTTAATTTATACAACTGAAAGATTTTTTCATTTCTGCTAATGCAAGTAATGAATAAAACAGAACTTTTAACCTAATTTACTTACTCTCTCGAATGTTGTCCCAGTTCCACTGATCACTTCTGAAGAAAGGGTGATGTTTTATTTCTTCTACCCCATTTCTCCCAAGTCGCACATCCCTAAACAGCAATTAATCCAGAGTCATGTTAGGGAAAATAGCTGCTTTGTATTTTTATTTATTTAAATTCTAACTTGTTCATAAGCAGCAATGAAATTTTTAGTAAAGATTGTCTGTGTCAACCACACTAATAGTCAAGCAAAAACAAAATTTAAAAACCACCAACCACTAATCTGTAGTTTCTTATATAAAATATACTGATTCTTAGTATGTACTCTCCCTGTGACTGCTAAAATGTCCAGAATCTGGAGTCTGCCACGTGGGGAGTAAAGCAAGAAAGAGAGCACTGAGTCAAAAACTAAGAAAAAACTAAAAACACAAACAAAAACTCAACACCCTTGGGGGAAATAAAACCACAGAACATTCATGTCTGCCAAACCACATGACAGACCATAAGACGCAAGTGAAGGAAGGTCTAACTTGCTGCACAGAACAGTTATTCAAAGCTGGACTAAAATAAATATTCTAAGAATTCCATCCTCTGCCCCACAACTAACCCTGACACGTCTCTTGCTGATATTTGCCGCGAAGTAAATCTTAAGTGCAACAAGAAACTTTTAGTTTGAACAGAAGAATCTCTCTTGAAACTACGTACAAGAACAGGACATAAAAACAATGCATGGAAAAGAAGCAATAAATCACAGGGTTGATGTTTAGTCCTTTAAGTGCTTCAGCAGGATCACGCAGCATCTGTTTCAAATAAATTGCTCAAGCCCTGTGTTAAATATAAACAGGAAGAGGGACACACGTAGTGGAAGTCCACCTTACTACATTTACACTATTAAATTCTAATCATATTTTCTCTCTACCCTTCAGCTACTAAGGGTGAAAAATGCTGTTAAATAAAGCACATCCTTCCTGACCAACCACAGGCTTGCTCAGTAGAGCAAACAATCTCTCTTTGAATGTAAAACCCATTATAAGGCATTTTGTTTTCCTAACTCCTCCTTCTATAGTGGCCGGATGCCCTACTCCAGCCAAGTTCAGGTGAACACAGGAAAGCATAAAAAGGCATCACCTAAGAGTTAAATGTGGACCTACACTGTTGTTCTTCAAAATCAGTTAAATTGAAGATTATCTCTGCTTTCTGAAACTAAACAAAATATAAGTGTTCAGGTCAAGAATAAGCTTACACAGCTTAATTTCAATAAGTGGCTTAGTTCCATTAAGGGAAACTTCTAGGAATAACCTTGCAGGTTTGTTAGCTATATTTACCAATTAATGCAACAAAGCAAATGAAAAAAAAAAATTAAAAATCAAACACTTTAAGAGACCTTAAACAAATTCAGTAAATACATGCTCACTTTCAGGAAAATATTTGCTTACACTTTTTTTAAGTAGCATCCACACAGACATTGAGCAAAACAATTTTTTCCCTGCCTTGGAGGTTATGAATTACTTTCAGCCTTACAGATTTGTCACTGCTATTGGAAGGATTTGTCCAGCACAAACTGTGCTGTTAACAAGAGCTGTCAGAACTGCTCATAGAAATAAAATACAATACCTGGAAAAAACACCTCAAAAGAAAAACTAGAGAACAGGAGGTTTGACAGGATAGATTTGAACAGAGATCAGGAGAAGTAAGAGAAGGAATTAATTTTTACAATGTATCATCCAAAATAAATACAGCCAATACCATCTAAAGTAAAAAACAGTGCCAGAACAATATGTGCACTTACCTATCAGTTAAAAAGGCACAGATAAGGTTCTTTGCATGCTTTGAGATTTCCACATCATCTGGGAAATGCAATGAGTTCTTATGATCCATAATTTTACTATATGTTCCTACTAGTGAGTCTGCATAAAAAGGAGTATCACCTGAAAATAAGATATTAAATTTGCTGTGATTTTATATCATGTTTAAGTTATGTGAGTTGAATAAAACAAAAGAGATAATGAAAAGTCTACAAGCAGTTTACCTAGAAGAGTATTTTATTAAGAAAAAGAAAAAAATTGGACATACAGTGTACAAATAATGTATACTACTAAAAATATTCCTTCCCTAAAATGTCTCTGTTACAAACTGCACCATTTTACATCCTGTCTGTCACTACTAAAATTTTGCCTGGTGAATTATATCTTTTATTCTGCCTTAAGATTCCCAATATATTTTCTAATTTATATAATGGCTGACACCCATATGAATCAATCTTTAAACACTCCAAGGATAAAATGGACCAAAACTCATTAAAGACTTGCTAATGCACATTTGTTGGAAGGAGTCCACCAAAGCTCTCTGAAGACCATTTCAGAGGCACACAGGTCTATCCTCCTTAAGGCATGTCAGCTCTGAGCAGTAGCCTTCCCAGTGTGTTACCACACTGTTAATAAATCTTGTTGACTGACAAATTACATCAGCTTGAATGCCCATATTAACATGGCAGGTGGCTTTTATAATAATAGACTTTTCTCACCCAGAGGTTTCCAGCCCAGGCTGTAGTTAAAGATATTTGCAAAGGAACTAGACTTTTAAAAGGTAAAACTAGGGCAAGAGAAAAGAATAGGCTGTGATAAAGGCAACTGACAAATTAACTGGCAACATTCTCAAGAAACAAATGGTTTGAGTCTGTAATCAAGACGCTGCAACTATTACAGGAGTCCTTTCTCCCAGCTAATCCATAGGTTTAATAGAGAAAGTGAACAATCACGTGAGCTAGGCTCTTCCCTTGGTTCTGGTGTGCTGTGCACAGGCAGGAATCATCTGGCATTGCAGGCTGTGGCCTTCCAACAAGGAACTGAGCATTTCAAATGCCATGAACATGAAAAAATGTACAAAGAGACCAATGGAAAACCACCATTCTGCTTTCAGAAGAACAATCCTAACTTTTGTCTCTTTCTATCATTTTAGAGCAAAATAAAAAATTAGCACACACCAGCTTGAACATAACTTCTAGATTTCTAGTAAATTTTTTAGGTTGCCATACCAGTGCACTGCAGGTGGGAATCACTGATATTTGCTCCTGCCTCCCTCTTTCCCAACCTTCCTCTTCTCAATCGTCTCCTATCTTGGAAATAGCTTTGATTTTGGCCACATACTATCTTAAGTCACTGAACTAACGTTAGGATTCATCCTGTGACCAACATTTTATGGTTTGGTTAAGCATACAATAAAATTTTCATTTTCATAGTAATATTACCATTTTCATTAGTTCTGCGGCTTTTTCAAAACCAGAATAACAAAACCGTTTCTGTGCTTTCTTTGAAGTGCAAAGTCTTAGAAGACCATAGCCAGAATCTGATACATAAGCATAGACAAAAATAGATACTTTCTACTGATATGTGGGATATGGAGAAATTAAGTAATATTTTCCTCCTAGATACAACGGGGAAAAAAAGAGGCTCTGAAAGGCTGAGAAAACATTCTGGACAGCTTTGCCTAATATTTTAAGAACTGAATAATTTTATTTACTGCTAAAATGGTTCATGACAGACTATTAACTATAAACCACATATTCTTAAAGTCAAAATGTTGTAATTCTGAAAGAGTTGGAAATAGTAATAGCATCATATGTTTAACTGTCTTTCCTGTCTCAGGATACCAGAAACATCAAATCTGCAATATTCCCAGAAAATGCTGATTTGTATTTTTAATAATTGTATGTTCAATTACATCCTTTCACAGTCAGTATTTTGCTACCAGACTATCATACTGATCCTCACTATATTTTAAGATGCAGATGACTCATCTCCTTAACATTATATTCTATATTCGTTGCCATAGCAGTCCAGTATATTTTACTAGAAAATCCTGACTCAAGCACAAAAGGAATTGAGCCATTCCTTTGGCTCCTTCCACACTTTGACCTAACAGAAGACATTGATGTGCTGTGGAAAAGGAGGAAAAAAGAAAAAGACAGTCCTGCCCTTGCCATTCCTCTCATCTCTTGTGTCCCTGCAAACTCAATCCTGCCTGAGTTGGCACAAATGTGGTGAGGTAGCTGACCCCAGTTAAAACTATTCTAAGAATTAATTTTAAGCCGAACCAAGTCAGGAAACTCATCACTGAGCAAGCATGCAAACAGCTGTCGCAGTGTGAGAGTGACAGAGAGCAAAGAGAACAACAATGAAGCCACAGCATCAGCCAAAACTCAGAAGCTGTTAGGGAGGTATGAGCAGCCTCCACACAGCAATATGTAGCTAAAGGCAGAGGGAAGACAGAGTGATAATCTTATTAGCAGAAGAAATCATTACTTACCAACTAACATCTCAAAAAGGAAAACCCCTACAGACCACCAGTCACATTCCCGTCCATAATAACCATCACCCCCCTGCGATTTCAGGACTTCAGGCGAGATGTAGTCAGGAGTCCCCACGGCTGTGTCGCAGCGCACCATTCCTGTCTGTGCAACAGTAACAACACAAACAGCTCAGTTCAAGGGGCTTCTGAGCACCTCTAACCAATTCCTCTGTTAGCAGGACAGAAAACCATAAAAATGCAGCCTAAAATACTTGGTTCGAGGAGTGTGTTTTAAAGACTATTTATAATCCAAGAAGCAATATGGATTGAAATGACATTTCTTGCTAATGTGCTTACCCCTGCCTACTCCATAGTGATTTCTCTTGACTTCATCTTCTCAAAATTCACCAATTTTATTATTTTTACCATTGGTTTTAATTTGAAACCGTATCAGACTGCTCCTTTTCTCATTTAAATCAGGGAAAAACTTTAGAAAAATTTTGACAAGTTCTGAACTCTAGGCCCTACAAGCAGATACATAATTTTGTCTAATTCAGCAAATAAATCAAGTAATAGGCAAATTTTTATAGACATGCCTTGTTTTTGTTTAAAGATAGGAAGAAGAATAAAAGGAGAAGCTGTTTTTAAAGAATAGCAAAGCCTTAGTTTTTTAAAAAAATATTTTTATTAACATATTACCACAGTTGTATCAATTAAAAGATTCCTCATCCTCTGCTCCACACTGAGAAACTAAAAATGTAGGGACCAAATGACGCAGAAGCATCAATCAGCTCTGCCATCATTCTGATTCAGTTATAGGGTTTGTTTCCTTTAATGAAGATCACTGAATTCACTCCTGAGAGACCAGATGGATGAAAGAAATTAAATTCTCGATGAAGTTAGAGAAGTACCAAAAATACACTCATCTTTTATTCTGTTTCCCAATCTGAAGTTTTATCTAAATCCTTTTACAAAGGTTCTTCGTGCATTTTGCCATCAGCATGAAAATATGTATTAATTCTGATTATTAATACAGAATATTAGTAGTAACATCTGTTCAAAATACATATTTAAAGAAAAAAGTGAAATATTTCATTTTGGGAATTGTACCGATACACAAAATTTAGACACCACATTAAAATACTCCTTCTCATACACAATATGAACTGTGAAAAGCTTTTATTTCTGTACTAAAACAAAATCCATCAAGTCATGAACCAGCAGGCAAAAACTAAAGGGATGACTGTAGAGACCTGTGGAGTACTACAAATGTCCTCCTGGCAAATGCCTGTCTTCTATCACCCCATGCTAAAACTGAAACCTAAAGAAATTTTAACTTCTCAGATCCAGAATAAAGAGCAGGTAAACTTTTGCATTCTATAGTGGGTGAGATAGCACATAGCTTATTCATACTGGGATAAGACAATGAAGTTAACTCTTTCCAGAAAACCTATTTCATTCATTTGACAAAGAAAAATAAAGGCAAACACATTTTAATGCTGCGAAATAAAGTTCAAAGACTCCAGAAATCTAAAGTTGAGAGCATTTGAAAATGGATCTAGGACATGGCAAGAAACTACTATTTGAATACCCTACTTGTCACAGTACTCTGTGCACTAACCTGTGTGTGTCTGCTCTGAAGCCTAAGCCTCTCCTTGCTTGAGTGCAGGAGGAATTGCTCTAGGGTTATGTGGTTTTGCTAATCCAGTAGAACTGTGGCAACTTAGTAAGGCTCCAACTGGTGTCTATCTCTTCCTTATCCAAACACAAAATTATAACAAAGGAAAGTCTGAATTTTTGCTCAGTCAAGTCTGGTTGAAGCCACCTGAATCCCACCCTGGCTAAGGAGATTCCTTAAAAACAAAGTCACCAAAACAGTTCTTGAAAGAGCTCTCTGAAGTCTGCAGCTTCAGTCACAAGCCTCTCCACCTTGACACTTAAGCATTTAATAACACCCTATTTCCCATTCCTCTATAATTAATACACCAAAGCAAGAATACCTTTTAATATATTACACATGTTGATATTTTCTGAAGTCTTAAACAAAGCAAAGGCTTTTTCTACAATAAAAGAAGTCCTTGCATGCTAACACCAGGTTCAATGGGCCATAGCTCTCTGAAGCACATGGAGCTGGTTGTACTTTTTCCCCATAAAACTCTCTACTTTCTGTCTCAGGAACTAATCTAGAAATGCATTTGCAGATCACAGAACAGCCTGGCTTGGAAGGGACTTGAAAGATCATCTGACTCAACTGGTCATAGTAAAAGGAGCTGATATATGATTATCTAGCACCATGTGGGACTGCATCACAAAATGGGGATTCTACCATGTCCCTGAGGAGATTGGCCCATTATCACTTGAATATAAAACTCTCAGATTTCTGTTCCGCTCATTCACACACTTCTTCTTTCAAAGAACTTGGGTGTTGTTCTGTATGTATTTTTAAGTACTGGGTACCTTTAATACCACATTCAGACTGTGATCTCTGGCTAAAAAGCTGAGTAAATAGGGACATGTTGTCTGCCCAGCACAGAACACCTTGGCAGTCCCTACATTCTGATGAGACTTGAATGATGCTATTTTGTCTGGGCAATGTGTTGCTCCTGAGTCTGAAAGACTAAGCCTCTATTTACGCCTGAGTAGCACACTTATTGTAACAGTTACCACACAAAGCTTTGAGTCGAGAGTCTCAGGCCAGTGTTTAACCTGAAACTTTTCTCATCACCACAAAAGATCAAGGTGGACCTTGGAACTCATCTCCTCCAGCTATGTGATAGATGTACAGTGAACAATTTTTAAAAAATGGGCTGTCCAGCAATGTTCTCGCAGCTCCTGACAACTTGGAGATGAGGTTCCCTGTAATGTTTCCCAGCATCATTCAGCAATATTACAGTGCTGAAGACAAAGCAATTCAGGTTTCATCTTCAGAAGGATCTCCATCAAACCTGAATGACTTGCTGTCTTGAACCAAGGCTTGAATCAGGCTTTCACTCCCTCAGGAAATTCCTTCCACTAAACAAGAGCTGGAGGGTGTTTGTGTGGAAACACGAGGATGGCACACATCAGGTGTTAGCAGCAGACAATGCACTGAGGCAGGAAGGATCCAGCAGAGTCCTCTTCACTGGACAAGCTTCAATAAGAAAGAACCTGAGTTCCAGAAAGAGGAACACGCTGCTTCTTTCAGCTGATCTGCCTGGGCTGAGGCAATGATCCCAAGTGGCAAACATCCCTTCTTTTGGTCACATCTCTTTCAACAGATACTCTCTGAATCTGTGCTCTGCTGAAGGCTGTTAGCACGGGACAGTGCTGTGCATGATGACACTGGCAGCTCCTGGCCCCAGGATACCTACCAAAGCCAACTGCTGTTTGGTTTCTTACACAACACCTGAAGATTTGACAGAGACTGGTGAACCCTGCCCTGGTCTACCTTATCATACCTAAATACCAAAAAAAGATACCACTATTCCTACTAAATTTTTGAGTCTAACTCCATTCTTTATTCAACAACAGAAATACTCACTTTGTTGCAGATTTTTAAAAAAATATGACTAATTAAAAAAAAAAAAAAAACCAAACCAAAAACTTAGCAGCTCTTTTTAGAAAATTTTAAGGAGAAACTCTGCTGCAAGTGTCTGTTCTGGCCTGGCCTGGCTGACTTAAGCAAACACTGAACAGCAAAGGTCAGAAAAATCTCTCAACAAATTGTAGCAAAATTTTCCTGGGCTCTCAACAGCATAAGGAAGATGCTAATGCTCACAACTGCTAAAAGAGATCCAAATCCAAAAAACAAGTAAGTACTGGGTATGCATATATTTTCTACAAATCTGTCTGCCAGCACCAATATTATATTTACACAGCTGGAATGTGTTCATATTTTGTAAGAAGTAGCATGAGATTGGAGACAATCCAGAACCTCTCAACTTCTAGCTTCCTGTAGAAAAAATTTTTGCCATTCCACTGAGTCTGAGAAACACAAAAAACTTAAAATTTAATCCTTTAAAAAATTAACTTCTCTAGGAGATCACTGGTCCACTGATGATACCCAGTCTAAAGAGGAGCTCACTCTAACTTTTTATGAGAAACACAGATTCATTTCTCACATCTACGGTACCATCATATGAATTTTAGCATTCCATTCTTTTAAAAATAGCAGTGAAAAAGAAAAAAAGTACAAAGCATAGGTCCACCATTTCTGGGGTCCCTAAAACAGCACAGAGGATCACCTTTTTTATTGGCATATTTATACTGTGAGCTTTTTTGATGCTTTTTTGTTGTCACTTCCAACAAACAACTTCCCTTAAGACATTACAATCTACTGACTTAAAACAAATATTAATAATTTTAAGGACTGAATTAAGAGACCAAGTACTACTTTTGATTTTTTCAATTAAAGTAAATGCTGCCCTCTAAAAGCAAGTAAATCAACAAAATGCAGGTAAATATTATCTTTCCCTTTAGACTAACAACTACAACATCAACAAAACTGAATAGAGTGAACTTCAATAAACAGCTGCAGATGGTGAAGTTAATATATTATCATGTAGAAAAAAATCCATCCTAAACAGACACAGTACTTGTGGATACTGCTGAAGAGACATTAACCTAATGATGCAAATGCAAATTAAGTAGATAGCAGAAATTATATCAAGCACTGTCTAAACAATACAGAAAGAAACCCAAAACATAAAAGCAAGTAAGCTTAAATGGATCATCCTTGCCAACACTACTACAGAAAACTTTCTAAGACCAGGTAAATCATAACACACATTCACATGCAGTTTTTTTGTATATATTATAATCTGGTATAGATTTTCGTAGGAAGAATAGTCATAGTTTTGCACAGGAAGAGTATATTCTGTAAACTACAGCATAACCCTGTCTGTCAGACAAGATTCTAGGAGTGCAAACTACAAAATGGTAGTTTTATTTTCAAGGTTTTTTTAATAATATAAAGTATCCTGTTAAAAATATTCTTATACAAACTCATTAGAAAACTGTATTTGGCTGTACATGGCGAAATCTGGACAAGTAAATAATTTTAATTGACATCTTGGCATCCTGACAAATAACTAACAGATTTTGATCAATATATCACATATCACCGCTGCTGTACTGTGACCTCATTTGAATGACCACTAGAGGATGCTATGGGAACAATTAGATACAGGAAAAAAACACATGGAATGAATCTTGGCTATAAAATAATTTAATTTACAAAAATAATGTCAGCTCATCAACTGTTCCAAGGTTATTAGTGTTGAAACTAAGAGTTATCTTGCAAGCTTTTCAAACATTTGGCAAAAAAAACGTACCTCAGAAATTCATAAACACACATGCTTTCATAAATAGCAAAGAGTAAGTTTACATCCTTCTTCCGTGTGATAGAACAGTTTATAACAGAAAAGGTTACACTATTTAAAATACTCTTATATTTAAAAGTAGGAAACAAGAAACAGCTTTCTACTCAAGTAGATCATTTGATGAATATTCCTTTGGGTATTATACTTCATAAGAAAGTAACGTTAGATATAGATGTAATTAAGAATTACAGTTTAACAGATGGTAAATTATTCAGTTGCATACTTACTTCATCCATTTTCATGCAAGTGCCAAAATCTGCCAGCTTCAGATGCCCATACTTATCTAAAAGCATATTGTCAGGCTTCACATCTCTGTGTATCAAGCCCATGGAGTGAATTGCATCAAGAGCAAGAACAACTTCAGCTGTGTAGAACTTGGCCCATTTCTCAGGCACATCATAATTGCTCATAAGGTTTACAAGATCTCCACCTGGCATGTATTCCATTACCATGTACAAATATTTGTCATCTTGAAAGGCACAAAATAGCTGCAACATTAAAAAAAGGAAAGGAAAAAAATGCAATTACTTTTCAGACAGCTAGGGAAATTAATAAAGCCCTTTATCTTGAAGTTTCATTAAACCTGAGAATATGTTTTCAAGATTACTTTTAATATGCATGAAAGATACATTTTTCTATTAATTATGGGAGTACCTTGGAATTTACTGAACTTCAGAACCCCTCATTATAATTTTTGAGAAAGTAAAAAGTATTTCCTGATTATAGGCATCTATCTGTCTGTCTATCTATCATCCATCTCCGTTTCTTGGCATTAAGAAGTATCACTGAGTCAAAATGCAAAAAGTATCAAATCTGTGACAGGGGGCAACATGTTCTGATTTGAAAATAGCTCAAGAGAGGGCAGCATCTCATACTGTTTCCAAATTTGCTATATTATAAATTTCTTATCTCTGTACATTTTTGTGAAGTCACTGCTGGCTTTGTCTAAAACAACACATATTGAAATAAGAAATAAAAACAAAATGTTTCTGAAGACAACTATAACACAATACAAAGAAACTGTCCTTAACAACAAAATACTGGTCTGGTATAAGTTGTGGTGGGTGTTTCCTACTGGCATGATAATGAAAGTAAGTTCAGTCTCTTTTAAATGTATTTCAGACCGAGAGTGCTAAAGTTTTGGAGATTCCACTTGGTGATCACCAGTCTGGCAAAAGTATTATCATCAAATGTTCAATGACTGCCCTGAAAAAGTCTCTGAAATTTTCTCCTTATTTTTCAGAGAATACTGACTTACCTTAAGAACTAAAATTGTTCACATCTTTAAATTACATACACAAAATTAAAAGGCAATTGAAAAATAGGATGTGTGGAAAGGACCAAGTCAGAATCAGGGAGACTGTGGAGGATAAGGAACCACGATAGGCAGGTATGTTACTATGGTGATTTGACTTTCAGATTAAAATTATTTGTATAACTAGTGTCAGAAGCCCTTGATTACAAATATTTATTTGAATACATATATGTTGCACTGTAGTTGTTTGCACAAATGGATAATACATGCAATATATAGTACAATAATGCATTGGGTCAATAAAATCCAAATGAAGATTCAAAATAATCTCTATTTTGTCACATGTAGAGATATTAATAGAATAATAAATAAAAGCACTATGTCTTTGTATAGAACTTTGTTATTGCCCTCAAGCGACTTCATAAAAAAAAAAAAACAAAACAAAAAATAAAACTATCCAGGGATCTTGTTGCATTTGTTTTTCACAAAAATACTAGACAGAGAGAAGCAGTGTGATCTGTCTCAGTTTCTAGATCAGAACAGGACCTACATTTTCTTCAAACCAGCTCAATGTCCTACCCCACTGGAAATATCACCTAAATATATCACACTAATACACTTAATCATAGAAGGCACAATTGCAACTACACTTTAGTTCATTTGCTATTTACAAATGCAGACACACATTTATATCCTGCTTCTGACAGTTTCCTTTGAAAATCCATGTCATGAATTTCTCATCACTTTCAACTGCATGTGAAAAATAGTTCCTGACAATTGTTGCTAGAACAAAGAACTAAATTAAAAAAATCATCTATTTGTTTAAGTATTTCTGCTGAATATAGGCAAGAGCACAGAACATGCTCAAGGAGCAAAACATCTTTGTATACCTGAGGTAATGTATTATGAAAAATATATGGAAATCTTAAATCCAGTCTTATTAAATATACATGGCAATATATATGAGAGAATTTAAATTAAGTATTTAAAATGTAAGGATTTCTCCAAGCACAAGCTTTCACTACTCCTTTTGCTAATTGGTGCAATTTACCAGTTACAACAAATGGCAATAATCAGTACTGATTGTTCCCAAAGGCATAATTCACATTACAATATCCTGATGACACTCGTCAAGAGACAGCTGCAAGTGATGGTGTTCAACACCAGATGAAGAAGTCAGCTCCCTGCTACTTGGATATGTTGAGTGCTGATGCTCAGAACTGACCACTATGAGAAGATGGTTTCGAGGAAACCACTGCTACAGCTCCTTGTCTTGTAGGAGACCAGCACTGAACACTCATCCATATATCAAACTGTAGCTGAAAAGACAGCCACTATTTAAAAGCACTCTTAATACCAATTGCCTGTGATCAACTAACTGTATCACGAGGAAAGACAATGAATACCAGTCGCATTTGTTTCTATATTCCTATAGAGAATGTTTCACAGTTGGATAACTTCCCTATTATTCCAAATAATTATGTAGGCATTTAAAAAAATCTATTTATGTTATGATGCATTTGTAGTGACTAAAATGCAAATTAATCTATTTTTTAACACAGCCAAATATACAAAACTTAGTGAAATTGCTGTAAAAATGTATTTTTAGAAGTAAAAATCTGAACCTAAACCTGGATTTGAGTTTCAAAGTGAAGTCAAAACCAGCTCAAGCCTGCGAAGTATTTATGGCATCAGCATCATTACTATTGCTGTTGCTGTTATTATTTACATGTTATTGTACACATCTTCCTTACCTGAACCACCCATGGGCTGTTGGCAAAGGCCATGATATCTCTTTCTTCCCAGAAAAAGGCCGAATCTGATCTCTTGATCATTTCAAATTTACTAAGTAGCTTCATTGCATAAACCTTCTGTGTCATTTTATGGCGAACCTGTTGGTAAAGAAGGGAATCAACAATTTTAAAATGCCTTGTTAAAAACCAGAGTACCATCATAGTATGTTTCTGCTATGTGCAAACTGCTTTCTGGAATGCGATACCTCCAGCTATTCATACACCCAATTTCTACGCAGTAAGGATTTGAGTACTAACCTAAAAAGAAAAGTTTAACAGTTGCTCAAAAAAACTCATCATAGCAGGAAATAAACTATAACTCTGCTTTTATTTTCTTATTCTGAACATTGTGCCATTGAATTCATTCAAGTTAGAAACTGGGCAAGCAGTCTGCTTCAGCCTCTGCCAATTTTTATTTTACACCAAAACATGATTGCTCCTACTTCTTTTCCAAAACAGTTCTTAAATTCACTTTAAATGTTGCAAAATTAATACAATGTATCTTGTTGGAAAACTGTAATTAAAGCTTTTTTTACAAAATATGAAAACTTCATCTGAATTCAGACATAAAGCCAAATCCTTAAATTGAACACTGCAGTCATTACTCAGCTAATTAGTCATGAGACATTCTATTTTATGAAAAAGCTATTAAAGGAGCAGGTTTTTAACATTCTTGAGTGTTTCTTAAAAAAATCAAGGTGAGAAGCATTTAGCTGTAAGAAGTCTGAGTCATTAGGACCTTAAGTTTCTGTGTATTTTTTTCCTGTTAAAATAAAAAATTCAGTGGACTAGTTTGTGAAATTGATTCATGAAAATTATGAAATGCACCAGAAACTAAAGTTATAATTTTCTGGTGATTTAAAACCTCTCACATCTAGTAAATAAAGCAGATCTCCTAACTTGTTAGTTTTGCACAAAATGTGACTTTAATTATGTTACTTGAAAGAATGTTTAATAGGCTTTTCTGAACAGCTGTAGATGCAGGTCCATGACATCTGCAGAACAAAGCTTCTGAGAGGCACCTATTTTGGTCTATAGATGTGGGAGCATCAGTCTCCTGCTCCTGAGGAGCTGTAAAAATTAATACTGCTGAAGGGATAGAAGAAGCATTAGGTGGAAGGGGTAGTCTGGGATAAAGCAAGAAGATGAACAGAAAGAGGATTATTTAAGGAGTTGCTGTTCTTGAAATTGGGGCTTTTTGCCTCAGTTATAGATGCAAAGGTTTCATTAGTAGTATCTTGCATAGTTTAACAAACAACCTTCTCTACAATTAGATCAAAAAACCTCCAACCTAACACCAGAACAGAAGCATGGTATCTATATGCATTAATAACTCTATAAGCATATTTTAGGACATTAATTAGTCAGATACTGAAGGTGTCCTAAAACAGTATTTTGAAAATGCTCTTCTTCCCATTTACTAATCCCACATGGGATTATTTACAAAGACTTGGTGGTACACCACAAACTACACTCCCCTAAGTAGAGCTTTTGTAATCCTGCCCAAACCCAGAAGAAACACAAAGACCAGAAATGTCAAAAAGATATTGTTTAACTGAAGACGCATTTTCTGTGAAATTTCACACTGAAGCTCTGCAATGTATTTAGTAGTTTACAATTCCTTAAATTGCTGTGTACTTTTGTCTAGGTGCAGTTAGAGTAGTTGCCTGCATTTAGAAAAACAACTGTCTCCCATGACTAGGGGGGAAAAAATTCTTCAAAGTCAGCACAGCCTGAAGGAAGCTCATGCACAGGAGAAGCAAAGTAAAGAGGGGTGGAGGGCCCAAAATCAGTTTGTAAACCTCTTTAAATAGTGCCAATAGGTTATTGGCTAAATGATTTATTGAGAAAATCTCAAGACAGGCTCTTTCTCTGTACAAAATCAAAGCAATAACAAGAGCACTGGCACACCCAGAGACTAGGTGTGTCTTGGCACACCTTGCAGGTGAGCAGACCTACCGCTGACATTCCTTCTTCTATCAGCACCATGGCCCCTGGAGACAGCCTTTTGAGCTGCTAGTCACTGTGCTCTTTACTCAGAGCTATATTTGTACATACAGATATTGGCTCATACAGCAGATTATTCATGTATTAAACTGTCATGATGTTTCAATTTCTTCCAGCTGTTAAAATGAACTGCCAAATTTAAACTGCAGCTCACCAGAGTAATACTCAAAATAGGTAGGAAAATCCCCTCATGCCATTAGCACTGAGTAACATGGCCTTGTTTAACTCATGAAAATACATTAAGAAAAAAGAATTTCACTCTACTCTGTTTCAACAATCTAACACTTTCAATAAACAAAATGTATCCATAATTTTCCCATGGGAATTTACATGGGAAGACCATCTGTAGGCAAAGAAAATAACACATCCATTTGAAGTTATCAGATTTAGTACACAGTATTGATAATAGTACTGGCCTTTTTATGATTTTGGAAAAAATTACCATCTCAGAGTGGAGTTTTGTAATGAACTATAAGGCTTGAAGTAATTGCAGGTATCCTAAAAGTACATCAGCAGTGGATGGGGAATTAATCCTAATAAACAAAGCACTTAATGAAGAAAAATAAACCAGCATCTGTTTATGCAGGCCATGACAATCACTGGTTTGCAACACTAAGAAAACAGACAGTAAAGACTGTCACCCAGACCATCCTCTAGCACCCAAACACAAGGAAGTGTTAACTTTGCTTTAGTTTTCTCTCCCAATACATGAGCAGGTCAGTCTGCTGTGCCACTGCAACATTACAGTCCCTCATGGTTAGACCTGGGAGAAGGAACTAAAGTTAAGTTTCAATTTCAAACCAAGCTGATTTTCCACAAGTGCAAACAAACAAGAACAACTCAGGATGTGTGTTCATAAATAACTGTTTCTGCATAAACCAGAAGTAACATATTAAGCACCATAATTCAATTTTTCTGTCTGCCCTAGACACCAGTCACTTTTATTCACAGCACTGTGTAAGAGAAGAAGTGATCTGGCGGCTGGCAATCATTTTCTTCGCTTTCCCCATCACTACAGATTGAGCAAAACCGGAGACCAGAGCACAAATGTAGAGTTTAATACTTCTGAATTTATAAGGAAATTGTTCCTCCACCACAGTCAGATGCTCAGACCAGAGTCATCTGATCTCTCCTTACTGGACTATTTTTTAAATTTTTTGGAGGGGAGAAGAAGAGGAAAAATCAAGCCCTTTTAAAAAAAAAATCTAGCTGTAAGACACAATGGTAGAGAATGTGTTTCACTTTCTTGACAGAATCTGGAAAGCTGATTGCTTCACATAACTTTAGCAAGAAAATGCTATACTGGAGCAGAAGACTAAGGGAAAACAAAATTAAATGAAAGAGGTCATAGCTGACTAATTTATGCTGCAAACATTACAAGCCAAAAAAATGAGCATACTAATATAATCATTAGAAACTTATATTAAATATTTGTGCTACAATTCCTATGCACAATAACACATACTAATAACACAATATTCATTAATTTAACTCATGTACTTAATCATGTTTTATTTATGGTTCTTTCTTTATTTAATCCCCACTGAAGCAAATTTCTATTTTGATCACAGAAAGTGTTACGAAATATTTTCATTACTGCAAATCCATCATCTGCAACAGTGGTGTTAACATTTTGAATGGAGTAGGAATAGATAGAGCTTAGCTCAATAGTTTAAACTTATACCATACCTTGTGAGGCAAAAAACTGAGGTATGTATGTCCACATCACCAGCTAATATTAGTTCAGATCTGCAGTTGCATTTGCTAGCTCACTGCTTTTCAGCTGTATGACTGCCTAACATTATGATTTCTATCTGTACTTTTACTCTTCAGAAAAAGTGTTTGTTTAAATTGACATGAAGTACAGAAGACCTCTATATGAACACACAGGAGTTTCTTTCCAATACCAAGGATTCTTGCATTTTTGGAAGGGCTTATTAAAGATTAAAAAAAAAACAAACCTATGACAACAATGCAACCCAACCCCCATTATTGAATGACCAGGTTACTAGACATTTTGTCATTACATTTTAATGGTTGGACAAATGAAAAATAAAGTTTGTCTTCAGATCCCTCAAAGTACCCAACCACAGTATGTACGCTATGAAAAATTATCTCTTCTTAAAAATTTATATTGTGTATGACACGGTGAGTTAAGAAAAAGAGTTTCCAGAACCAATCAGGACTTTCTATTTGAAATGAAATGTTAAAAAGAAAATAAAAATAATTTAGTAAAACCTTTCTGTTCTTAAGAAATACACATATGAAAACAATGTTTTTTCATTTTTGAAGCACCTCAAAAATACAATTCTCTTGTGTGCTTCCAGGAAAGATATGAGTTTGACATCTAAAAATGGCACATAACTTCTGTTATTGGGACTTGCTTTTTTTTCATCTTCTACCCCTTCAACAAGTGGACAAGGAACTCTGATCCTTACAACTTGATTTTTCATTGACTTCACATGCCAGTATGTAAGGAGTGTCTCTATTCACTGCTCAATGTGCATTAATGTAAAGATACAAATGTCTAATAGAAGACTTTAAAATAAACCATTTGATGTGACTGTCATTGAAAAGACATGGAGTAGACTGCTTTCCTACAAACACACTGCAGCAGCCCATTCATAAGAAAGTTCTGCTGAAGATTCGGGTTTGTTTTTAATTTCTTGCCTACAAGGCTATAAAATTATGTAAGTATACATAATAATTCTTTAAAATCCTGCTAGAAAATGAGGATTTTTGGAAATGCTCTACTCTAGACAAAACAAAGTGTAAATGACACTTATAGAAATAGGGAAGAGGGTGCTACATTCTCAAATTACTAGACTTGGTCTTAAAAAATTACGTAGATGAATAAAAATTGCTTATTAGATGTTGCTGTCTGACATACTAATCACATCCAAACTTGTAAATTGCCCATGAGTCATGCAAATAATATTAGGCTAGTCAAAGGGGTTTTTTTCCAGTTCCAACGAATTTCAGCAACACTAATATGGAAAATACAATGAATTTCATAAATTGATCACAAATTTATTGACATTATACATTGTGTACCTCCTCTAAGCCCTTAACAGCCTAGATCTTACCACATCCCTCAACAAAACTCCAGCATATCTTTGTATTTTCCAGAATGGTCATACATTACAAGACACTATGATTTTCCCAGCTTCCTAGTGCAAAATTACCACAGAGCAGTAAAATGCCAGTTCCAGGTCAACAAATATGAGCAAAAGTACTTGTAAAAAGGGTAATTTTTGTTTCCTCATGGTAACAAGATAACAAGCTTCAATTGCAAAAAATTATTTGCTTCCCTTCTATTGATTTGCTTCACATCTCTCTTCCTCTAAAAATACTCACACAGAACATCACCATGGAGCAGCTGGTGCAGAGTTATCTGCTAGCTCATGATAACTTGTCCCTAATGTTTGCATTCTATATTCTATCTGGCATTTACATCCAATGCTTATTTCAAAACTGACATATCAATCCACCTTATACATATGCTCACATTTTTGTGCCATGTATCAGACTAGGACTTGGATGTCCCGGAAAAATCAAAATTAAATTAAAATCAGACTACATGTGATACACCAAGTTACCTTTTGTAGTTTGATTACCTTTTTTTAATAACAGAATTTCTCAGCAATAGAAATTTTAAAAATAAACCCATTCATACTTTAGGTATTATATTGCATACAATGTCAAGGAGACAATGTTAAGAAAGAATCTTTTAAAAATCCTGTGTCATGTCACTTAAAATACAACGCAAGCATCACAATTATAAGAACAAAACAAAAATCTTTTGTTGCAGTGTTTGCCTGCTCTTTTTAGAAGGTTTCAGATATTATTATACAGTGACACTTGTGGCCAAAAAGATTTAGAATTGCCAGGAATTGCCTTTTTGATTTTGATCAAAGGATAGAAAACATTCCTGAGTTTTTCCCTTCCTATCCATCATATTTTAAACTCAGATTTTCTGTTTACTGTGCACAGAAACAATCTCTCAATACAATGAAAATTACACTTGTTCTTTTTAAGAATGACTTTTTACATATAAAACACGAAGACTGAGGATGGTTTTGGCTAAAGCTGTTAATCTGTCTAAATATTAAATCATTACATTCTTACCAGCTGCACTTCTCCAAAAGCCCCTCTTCCAATCACCTTAACAACATCGTAGTCTTCAGCTTTCATTTGTAAAGCTCGGATTTTTTCCACAATCTTCTCATCTAAAACAAATCAAACAGAAGTTGTGATAACGCATATATTAGCAGAATACAAGGATTTTAGCTATTAATTTAGTGAAAAAATAAGCTACTTTTATTCAAATGTTTAGAACCTTCTTTCTAATTCTTGAAATCTGTAGTCACTATTAATATACCCTTTCATCATTCTTTGGAAACCATTAACCCTCTACCTTTAGCTGTAACTACTGAATTATCTTTCATCTTTTGCTGACTCTCATTTCACACCTCTAATAATCACTCACAGGCTTATGGGAAGAATCTGGTAATGAAGAGAGCCAGAGATGCCTATCGGGAATTTTCAATCATTCCTTCTACCCGCTGCACTCCCAGGATCCACTGACACTCCACTGAGTGCCGAGGTGGAGCACGTGGTGTGCAAGAAGCACTGCAGGTGCAACCTGCTCCTACACACCTGGAGGGTTCAACAGCACTCACAAGGCGAGGAATGTGACTGGGTGACCTTCATGTACAACTGCAGCTCACACAAACATCTGGCACATCCACTCATCCATTCCATACGAAACATTGATTAAGTTTACATGTCTGTAACTGCTGGCCATCTCAAAGTGTTTTTTTTGGTATTCACCACATTTTTTTGGTATTCACCAAAGCTCTACACTTTTTAAAATGATGTCTACAATGCTCTGTTCAGCGTTCTGCAGATAAGCACTGCCTGTCAGTATGTGTCTTACTGGCAGTTGTAAGAATCTGTAAAAGGGAAAACAGTGAAATTCTCATTTCTGACAAGTTCTAAAAACACACAAGGTCCTAGACTCCTTAATTTTGTAAATGAAACATGCTATGAATATATTCCTATCTAAACACTTTTTTAAAATCTATTCTTATTACAAGAACAAAAGATAATGGAATTGGTGAATGGAATCCATAATACTAAAGGTAATCTGAGGCATGACAAGCCCCTACACATGCTTAGAGGAAGAACAAAAAGCAAAACAGGTGGCTGAAGCAAGAACTCTACCAGGAAAGAGCTTGAAATTGTATGAAAGGCTGTGGATGCTTATATTCAGAGAGGGGTAGAGGTTTATCTTTGTGAGAGCCCTGTTTAGGGACAAATACCATGGAATTTTAACCCTAGAAAGGCATTAAAGAGGATGTCAGATCTGAATACAGGGGGAAAAAAGAATCAGAAATACAGTTAATCCAGTATGACATTAAAGATGACATGGTCTAAGGGAGTTAATGATAAGAACATCTAGTAAATAGCTTAACCATTCCTACATATTCATGAAGAGCAGCTTGGCAGGCTACAAGCAATCCAGGAGATGCCTGACCATCACTTCTTTTCTTCCAAACAAGCAATAAGCCAAAACAGGGAGGCACTCTGATTTATTACTCACAAACAAGAATGAACTGGCTCAAGAAGACAAAGTCTGTGGCAGACTTGGCAAAAGAAACTATGAGATTGTAAAGTGGAATTTAAAACTCAAACAGACCTGAAGTAGGAAAATAGCAGACTTTGGACTTCAGGAGAACCAACTGTGGCTTGTTTAGAAAACTTGCTTGTTTAGAAAACTTTAGAAAAAGGTGGCAGGATCCTGTGAAAAGCTGCTGTGAAGGGCAGAGGAGTGGGCTGATCTTCAGAGATGACATGTTCATAGCACAAGAACAGTATGTTCTGGCTAGCTAGAAATTGAGCAGGAATGTCAAGGAGCCAGTCAGCCTAAATGGACAACCTTTGCCTCAACTCAAGCACAAAAGGTAAAGGTTTGGAACATGGACACTGAGTTAGGTTACCCAGCAGGAACCTCTCAAACAAGAAAAGATGGAATTAGGAAAGCCAGGATCAGCTGGAACTGAAACTAGCCAGGACTATATTAAGAGAAAAAAGAGACACTATAAATACAGTGGCCATAAAAGAAAGAATGAGGCAAATGTGGTCCCACTGCTCTCAGTGAGGGAGGTGATCTAGTACCAGGGACCTGGAGAAGATCAAGGCAGTCAATGCCTGTTTTTGCTTCACTTCACCCTCAAGCCCTGCTCAGAGGCCTCCCAGCTCCTTGAAGCCAACAGCAGTGTGGGGCAGCACAATATCATAATAGAGGAAGTTATGAGGTAAAGACCAGTGAAGCAGACTTGGCATATACCAGGTCTTGAGATAATACAGGATAGATCCAAGTGGCCTGAAAAATCCAATCAAAACCATTACCAGGCTGTTCTCTATCACCTTTGAAAGGTCATGGCAACTTGGAAATGTGATAAAGTGCAAATGTCATGTCCATGTTCTAAAAAGACAGCAAGGGGGCTACAGGGTGGAACAGCAGCCTGACCACACTGCCCAAGATAGTCATGGAGAAAAATCCTTCAGGTATCCATTTCCAAGTACATTATGCCCATGGAAGGATAGGAACAGCCAGAATAGATCTAAAAAAGATAAATTGTGCTTGACTAACCTGATTTCCTTCAATAACAAGATGTCTGTCTTAGTGGACAAAAGGAGAGCAGTACATTTCCTTGGCTGTTGCATGATTTCCAACACAGCACCTCAAATTATCTTTGTAGCCAAATCAGGCTGACATGGATTGCACAGATGAATTACCTGGCAAGTGGAAAACTTGCTGGAGTCACAGCCAGTGGTTTTAAGTTCAAAGCTGATACACTGGAGGGCAGGGTGGCTTCTATGGGTGACCCAGACAGGATGAGTAATGAGCTGACAGGAAGTTCACAGTTCAACAACAGCAAGTGCAGAGTTCTGTAGCTGGGATGGAACAGCACCACACAACAGAATAGGATGCACTCACCAGCTAGAAAGCACCATGAGAAAGAGGACCTGACAGCCCTGATGGATAACAAGCGAAGCAGAGAGGAATGAGCCTTTGCAGTGACTCTGCAAGTATGTGTTGGTAAATGTACAGCCAGTAGGTTGAGGGAAGTAGACTTCCTCCTGTCATTTATAAAACCATATATGGAATATTATGACTAACTTTGGGGTCCTCAGTGTACAAAAAGTACTAGACATTCCCTAGCTTTATGGAAGACCACCAAGATGCTCACATGATGCTCAAAAGAAGCTGAGAGAACTGGAATTGTTCATGTTAGGGATGGATAAATGGTAGGCCTCAACAGAAGTTGAAATAAGGTTTAACTTCTAAAGGGTACAAAGTGAAAGGACAAGAGTCACCAGACAAGATGAAATACCAGAAATCCTATTTTGTAAGAAAAGAACAATAAGAACTGGACAAAGGTGCAGACGGTAGAGAGGAATTGAAAAACCTCCATATTTGGAAATTCTCAAAATTCAACTGCACAAGAACCTGAACAATCTGATATAACATAAAAACTGGTTTGACTTTGAGCAGAGAGTCAGACCAGTTGCCCTCCAGAGATCCTTCCTAACCTGCAGAACACAAAAACATAACTGTAAGTTTCTTCTTCTGAGGAAAAGACAGGGAAGGGGAGAGATTATCGTTACAATGACAGAATGGTCTGCTAGTAAAGTTGTATGGACAGAAGCAATTAAAATCTTCAAAAGTAAACAGATCTGCTACATTCAGTGAGAGTACTAATATGACCGAAGTAATTCCTGTGTCAACAAGAAGAGGAGTTGAGAGAATTGTGATGTTGTTTCTATACTGAATCATGAAAGCCTAGACCAAAAGCATAGGAAAGAAACAATGTTTCACCCACACCAAGTTTATAATTTTTGTTAATAATATGAATTAATTTTGCAGATTGTGAAGAGAATACTGTGTTTGGAAGTTAACTGCAGATCACAAGCCCTGGCAGTAGACAAGGAGGATAAATACAAATTCACAGGAAGCAGCAGTAGAGAAAGAATATCAGCAAACTTCAAGTCACAGAGAATGTGCAGTTACACGTTTGAATACAATGTTACACATCTCACGAGACATGGGAATGACATGAGTTTATTTTAAATGTTTCTGACATGTTTCAATGTTTGCAAATATGTGAAATGAGCAGAGATCTATACACATTGAAAAAGTAGTGCCTAGTTTTACGCAACTCAATTTCTGAGAAGAAATTCACAGGAATACTTCTGTAGAAGTTAGAAACTATAAACAAAGTTATTACAGCTCCAGTGAAACTCATCAAGCATTAAATAATGCAAACAAGCAATCAAATCCCCAAAAACATAGGAAACAACCAACTGAGGAGTTACTAGTTTTATCATCCCTGCTGAGAATGGAGAAATCCTACTTGCTTTGTGAAAAGAATAGAATATAATAGAACAGAACAAAGTAGAATAGAACAGAACAGAACTGAACAGACTATAGCCTTTTCAGTTCAAAGGGACCCACAGTAACCATCACTGCAATTGTCTGACTATTTCAGGGTTGACCAACAGGTAAACATTGTTAAATGCCTCTTAAACACTGACAGGCTCAGGGCACTGACTGTCTCTCAAGGAAGCCTGTTCCAGTGTTCGACCACCCTCACATGATGTCTTGTCTGAACCTCCCCTGGTGCAGCTTTGGACCATTCCCATATGTCTTGTCACTTCATCCCAGGAAGAAGAGCTCAGGACCTCCCTCTCCACTTTCTCCCTCTTTAGAAAACAATGAGGTCACTCCTCCTAACTCCTTTAACTAAAATTTAATAATCTCAGTTAATAATAATACCACATAGGAATGCAAGTGTTGCAAAGGTATCAGTTACACAGATGGATTGTATATTTTGGCATAAAATCTTATGGATATGGACCAGATAATCAATGCATGAAACAAAAAACTGGGGTGCAAGAAGGCAAGCTTAGATTAACCCTGAAGCCACATCATCATTGCAACATACTGGATCGTAAGATTTAGCTCATGTATCACATAACATGATCTAATACAGGGTGCAGGAGACCCTTCCAAGAGCAGTCTTCTTATAATGGTCTGAATTTTCAGATTTCACACAGATGAGTTTGAAGATTTTGATATCTGTATGCACATGTCTCATGAATTTGCAACAACATAAAGCCCAGCAGAAGAAAAATGTCATATTTGAAGGAAGGTATTAGA